TCTGAGCTCCACTTATGACGTCTTTGTGGGTTTGTGTTTCTGAAAGAGTCATATTTCATTTTTACATGATCGTTTTACATCCTCTCTTTATCCAGGCTGTTTTTGTTGCTCTGCGTTTAAGACTGATATATGTAAATGAGCTCTGTTCTGACTGGCTGCTCTGTATAGTGACTTAGTCGGAAAGCAGTTAGGGCTGAAACACTCCTTATAACTTCACTGTGAATGGGCAGGACTGAACTGCTGTAGACTGAATGGTGGGGCTAAACTGCTGTAGACTGAATGGTGGAGCTAAACTGCTGTAGACTGAATGGTGGAGCTAAACTGCTGTAGCTGAATGGTGGGGCTAAACTGCTGTAGACTGAATGGTGGGGCTAAACTGCTGTAGACTGAATGGTGGAGCTAAACTGCTGTAGACTGAATGGTGGGGCTAAACTGCTGTAGCTGAATGGTGGGGCTAAACTGCTGTAGCTGAATGGTGGGGCTAAACTGCTGTAGACTGAATGGGTGGAGCTAAACTGCTGTAGCTGAATGGTGGGGCTAAACTGCTGTAGCTGAATGGTGGGGCTAAACTGCTGTAGCTGAATGGTGGGGCTAAACTGCTGTAGCTGAATGGTGGGGCTAAACTGCTGTAGGCTGAGTAGATGGATATATGTAAATGTGCAGGTTTTTGTGGCATCACAAAACACCGAATTCAAAACTATATTTCCATATTTGGGCTGTGGAGTGAAAGTTTTGAAATTTCGGTTTTCGATTATATGGCCCTTTAAACTACAAATGCAAGCTGTAACTGTGCCTTTGAGACTGATATATGTAAATGACCTCTGTTCTGATTGGCTGCCCTGTATTGCTCATTCAAGCTGTGCGGAAACACTCCTTATAACTTTCGCATAAACAGGTCGGATTAATCTGCTGTAGGCTATATTAGTGGATATCGCTGCTGTTGGAAGAAAATCTCGTATCTCCAAAATGGTAACTTTACAGGAGAGAGAAAAAACCTACTGTACTTTTAATGTAAGTCAATGGAACCAGACATTCTTCCAAGTAATTTTGGGCCGTTTGTTTTGGTCCATTCATCATGAAATTTACAGACAATGTAAAGGACAACAGGTATTTTCAAATTATGTCAAAAACTGAAAATCGACTAAAATGGAGATATGAGCTTTTGTTCCGACAGCAGTGATACGCATATATATGTAATGTGGTGTTTTTTGTAACATCACTCAAATTCAAAAATCAGTTAAAACAATGTATTTCCATAAGTGCTCTGTATGCACTGGGAGTACATTTTGAACTACTGTTTACATATTACTTAAAGCTCTGTTTTGAAAAAGTGGAGAAAATGAGTTTAGGGGCCCTTTAATCTACAGGTACAGGATGTTACCGTGCCTTTAAGACTGATTTATGTAAATGAGATCTGTTCTGATTTGCTGCCCTGTGTTGTGTCCACAGTACAAATTCAAAAAGCATAAAAGCACTCCTTATAACTTCAGCGTGAAGGGGCGGGGCTAAGGTGCTGTAGGGTGAACAGGTGGGTGTATATAAATGTGTTGGGTTTTTTTGTGACATCACAAGGACATTAAAGGCACAATGGGCTGTTTCTGCAGCTTTGTTTCCATAAATGGACTGGAGAGTGAACAGTGTGTTCTTGAAGCTTTTAACAGTGCTACATCAAGCGCTTGATTTGGGGTGATACAGGCCCTTTAACACCGAAGGCTGTGAGTGGAGCTCAGCCGCTCTGGTTTGGCTGTTGACATTCCAGCAGTGCTGGGTTGTTTGTCTGCTGCGCTGCAGATGAAGAATGACCATGGAGCTGTATTGTTTCAGCAGGTGGTCAGGAAGTTTCACCAGGAAAGCTCAGGATGGGAGGAGTTCCAGCCTTTTGTCTCAGTTTCTCTCTCGAGTGTTTTTCCTTGGCTGCTGTTGTTTGGGGTCAGTCTCTGCTGGACTGGACGTTCTGCTGGGCCTGTTTGGCTGTGAAAGAGTATATTATGCTGGTGCTCACGATGTTCTGCTAGTGGAAAGAGTCTTGGTGTGAAAATTGGCTTAGTCTGATGGTTCTCCATCCATGTGCGATATACACTGATCAGGCGTAACATTCTGACCACCTCCTTGTTTCTACGCTCATTGTCCATTTTATCAGCTCCACTTACTATATAGGTGCACTTTGTAGTTCTACAGTTACAGACTGTAGTCCATCTGTTTCTCTGATACTTTGTTAGCCCCCTTTTACCCTGTTCTTCAGTGGTCAGGACCCCCATGGACCCTCACAGAGCAGGTACTGTTTGGGTGGTGGATCATTCTCAGCACTGCAGTAACACTGACGTGGTGGTGGTGTGTTAGTGTTAGTTTCCTCTGTGACTGATCAGATGTCTGAAAAAAATAAATATCGTCATATATAAATATATATATTGTTAAAATTTCTTAAGGTATTGCGATATTATATTTTTGCTGTATCGCCCACCTTTATAATCAGTGCCTCTAGAACACCAAACACCTGCATACATCATAACCGGGACAGACCAATTATAGACGATGAGAACCTTTAAACAACCACAAACAGTGTACAGTGACTGTACACTCTTAAAAAGATGGTTCTTTAGTAAATACAGTGATTCTATACAGAAACATGAACTCTCAGAGGACTGTATGCATGCTTAAATGGTTCTCTGCATGGTGAAATGGTTCTTCAGACTGATGGAAAATGTGCTGAATATGGTTCCATATGGCACCAAAAAGGGTTCTGCTATTACTGCAACGTCAAGCTTGTAACAGTAGAAGAACACTATTTGTTACTATGTAGAACCATTTTAAAAAAGGTTCTTTATAGAACCATCTACAGCACATTCTCCATCAATCTAAAGAACCATTTCACCATGCAAAGAACCATTTAATCATGCAAAGTGTTCTCTGAGTGTTCATGGTTCTAAGTAGAACCACTGTCTTTACGAAAGAACCCTTTGAAGAACCTTCTTTTTAACTGCTGCATCATCACTGGTTTCCTTCGTAACTCATTCAGAACTGCTGAACTTTTGTACAGGTATGTATTGGATGAATATCTAATAGAATTCATTTGATTTTTTAATTACATGTAATTGTCATATTTTGATTCACAGTCAATAATTATTATAATGATAAATTAAGTGATAATAATTCACTATTTAGCCAGATGGTGTGATTGATTTCTTCACATTTTGTAGTTCTTTACATCTGTAATGTCAGATGAAGACATTAACAAATTAAATAGCTTAATTTTGCTTAAAAAAATTTTACTCCTCATTTTCCCTTTTTAAAAGGGAAATTCCACCTACTTTTCAAAAATACCATAAAATGAATTGGTAAGATGCAAACAAAGTTAAGATGTAAATAAAGTTCTGGTTAGTAAATAAAATGTCTATATTTGTGTTGTAGTCATGGCAACCCCTGGTTCCTATCACCACCACTGTAAAGACATCTGAACCATTTCAAACCAAACCACTCTGAATCACTGAATTATGGGTCAAATTTTGGTGGAATTCCCCTTTGAATGTGGCACTTCTGTTTCGCTGGTGTATTTTATCTATCCAACTCGTCAAATCTCTGAAAAATCAAATATCACGTGTCATAAAAGCCATAAAGTAATGTGATGTTTATAGATTTGCCAGCCTTAGTTGTTCCCTGTCTTCATTCTGGTGGTAGAACTTCACCATCAAAGGCCTGACGGTGCTGATGCTGCTTTAATGAGTGAGTAGTGAACTGTTTCCTTGATGTGTGGAGGGGTGTTGATGGATGTAGCCCCCCAAAGCCCCTCACTAATCATCACCGAATCAGCACATGCCTCTGGAGAGCATCACTGAGGAGTCTGCTCCTGCACTGTTAATCCTCTGAAGTGGGGGAGAAACAGAACTCATCTCTCCCTGAAGGTTTTCTGAGGGGTTGTAATTTGCGAAGACGTTAACGGAGGGTCTCTGCCGGAGTGGCGGCTGACAGATGACATAATTGGGCATGTAGGACCCCCCCCCCACCCCCACCCCCCATGCAGTCAGCTGGGAGCCCTGATTCAGTTTGTAGAACAGGTGCTACATGCTAATTAGCTGGTGAGCAGATGAAGAAGGAAGGCTTTGTACTCTGGCCTGCTGAAAACAGTCTCCACCTCAGTCCAGTCAGGCACATTTATTAGCCTTGCTGTCCAGTCTCTGTAGGGAAGTAGGTAGGCTTGCACTGCCCCCTACTGGAGAGGAGCTGTACTGCTAATGAGATGTAACTCCAGTCATTAGAATGACTCGGCTCCTGTTATTTTGTAAGAAATCATTGTTATCATTATTATGTCTTGTTTTGTATCTGTACTCCAGGAATTCCAATGTTTGTTTCAAAATTTACCCATAATTCACTGTGTGAGATGTAAACAGAGAGATTCAGAGTGGTTTGGTATGAAATGGTTCAGATGTCTTTACAGTGGTGGTGATAGGAACCAGGGGTCGCCATGAGTACAACACAGATATAGACATTTTATTTACTATCCAGAACCACCAGTGAACCTACACGAGTCTTCTGAGTCTATATGGAATGTTGATGATGGAAAACAGTGGAAAATCTGAAATAATAAGTTTCTTTGGGGACTATTTTGCCTCACAGCGCCCTGCATGTATCCCTCCACCATGAATGGAGTTTAAGTTCTCTAAACTATCATAAAACAGTGTCTCAGTCATCAGGCAGTGAATTCATAACCATTTCATGTAGGAACTTTCTGTGAGGATTTTAGGATGTTTGCTGCATCTCTTGTACTTGAAGTAGTGACCAGCTAACTGTCCAGTTACTTTTGGTCATCTGACATGGAAAGGCTGTTCATAAAAAGGCCTCACACAGTGTGGTTGCCAGATGAAAGCTGATGTTTTCAGTCTAATGAGCTGAAATGTGACAACAAAAGCTACAGTCGTCATACAGTTACTGTGCAATGTTGCTGATTATAAAATGCATATGATAACATGAGATAAACTGCAGTGTGTGTGTTTGTGTTTGTGTAGAGACCTGAAACTGAGGAACTACACTCCAGAAGATGAAGAGCTGAAGGAAAGGCAGGTGCCCAAAGCTAAACCTGCTTCAGGTGAGAACTCAGTCTCCTCCACCTGCTCAGTAGATCTGAACAGCACAGCTCAGTACACTCACTGCTTCACTTCTCAACTCATTAAAGCAGTTTGTGTGTTACAGTGACGGTTAAGGGAGGTTGAGTTTGACCTGACGTCACTAACATACAGCGTACAGTGGCTTATTGCCTTATAATAATATAAGATATTAATAAGATAAAATGGACAACGAGCGTAGAAACAAGGAATGCGAATGAGTTGGTTTTTGTGACATCACAAAGATGAAAAATTTTAAATGTACTGCTTTTGCAGTTTAGCTTCCATATATGGACTGTATGAGTGAACCGAGGAGAGTGATCAGTATCTGTTTTATAAAAAACAGTGAGAGTAAGAATACCATTCTTAGCTAGATAGCGTTAGCATTAGCATTAGCACTGGTTAATGCTGTTCAAAGTGCTCTTGTTCTTGTTTCTGAGCCTCAGTGTTGATATGAGCCTGATATGATTTCTGATCCTGTGTTTATCTCTGCAGTGGAGGATAAAGTTAAAGACCAGCTGGAGGCCGCAAACCCCGAGCCAGTCATAGAGGAAGTGGTGAGTTATTAAGTTTTACAGCTTAGCCGTCGCTATGGCAAAACCTGCTCTTACACACTGAATAAAGAAAATAATTTATTTTATTTTTAAAGGATCTGGCCAATCTCGCTCCGAGGAAACCAGACTGGTAAGAAGCTTGAACAGCCACTCTCACCGTGTACAGTGATCTCTTATATAGGGCTGGGCGATATGACAATATATATCACATTAAATTATGTCACAATACAATTCAGTTTGCTTTTCTGATCATATTGTATATATCATCAGTAGTTGTAGACACTGACCAACTGCATGTTACATTATAAAGAGAGCAAAATTAGTCCTGTTTAACTGGATTTAGTGCCAAATATTAAATACAAATCAGTTTTGGTAGCATTTTTTAAAACTGTAGGTCTTTTTTCTCTGTTACAACTGATCAGATATCTAAAAAAAAATAATATTGTGACATATTGTGTATTGTGGAAATATCTTGAAATATTATATTGTTTTATTAAATATATATATTATATTTTGCCATATCGCCCAGCTCTACTCTGAAATGTCACAGTACACTGTAATGGTGTCCTTTTAATGATTTAACTTTTGATTTCCTGGCAGGGATCTGAAGAGGGACGTGGCTAAAAAACTGGAGAAGCTGGAGAAGAGAACGCAGAAAGCCATCGCAGAACTTATTCGTGAGTGTGGCAATAAATTTACGTTTATCAGACACAGAATTTGTCACTTTTATTATAAAATGGATCATTTCGGTCCTAAAATCTGATCCACGTTTGAAGCTGTTGTAAAACGCTTGATACATGCACACATACAACAAATTACGTATTAGTTAAATTCACTAAAAAAACATGGTGCTGTTAGTGGACTGTTAACCTGCGAACATGGAGCCCTGAGTGCACTCATAGATGAAGTAGTGTTTTTCAAAATTATTTATTTATTTACCTTTTCATATATTAATGACACCTGCTGTGGTGATATTTTCCCCTTTAATTCATTATTTAATTCATTAAAATTTTGCCATATGCCATAGCAGGTTTGTAGCAACACTCTAGCAGCTGTACTAGCAACATCCTAGCAACCATCTGGGATACCAAAGCAACCACTTAGTAATGCCACAGCAACCACCTGGTATACTGTAGCAAAGACCTAATAACACCCTAGCAACCACCTGGGGTACCATAGCAACCACTTTGCAACACCTGAGCAACCACTTTGGAAGCCATAGTGAGGTTGTAGCAACACCCTAGTGACTGCCTAGTAACACCCTAGCAACCACCTGGGCTACCATAGCAACCACCTAGCAACACGCTGGTAATCACATGGAATATAATAGCAACCACCTAGCAACACCTCAGCAACCACTTTGGATGCCATAGTGAGGTTGTAGCGACTGCCTAGCAGCACCTTAGCAGCCATCTGGGATACCATAGTAACCACCTAGTAACATCCTAGCAATCACTTGGGATACCATAGCAACTGCCTAGCAGCACCCTAGCAACCACCTGGGACACCATAGCAACTGCCTAGCAGCACCCTAGCAACCACCTGGGATACCATGGCAACTGCCTAACAGCACCCTAGAAACCACCTGGGATACCATGGCAACTGCCTAGCAGCACCCTAGCAACTACTTGGGATACCATGGCAACTGCCTAGCAGCACCCTAGCAACCGCCTAGTAACAGACTAGCAACTACCTCAGATACCAGAGCAATCGCCTAGCAACAACATGGAATAACGTAGCAACCAACTAGTAACATCTTAGCAAGCTTAAGATGCAGAATCACTGCATTTTCTTCAGAAAAACATTCTCTAGTTGACTAACATTTAAAAATCTCCCCCTTCAGTGCGACGCGTTTCTGCGCCTCATGCTGTGTTAAGGTGTTTACGTCTGCGTGTGACTGACTCGCTGAAACAGCTGCCTTAATCTACTGTAACAGCACTAATGAACTGCTGTAATGAGGGTCGCCGTGTTTTGAGGGTAATTGCTCTGTGCTTTCCTAAAGCCCCCGAGATTTGACAGCTCTTGATGACATCATGGATACAGTCCCCCTCTCTTTGTGGCCTCCGCCGGCCCAGAATAGAACCGTCCGTGACCGATATGTTTCACCGCCCTCCGCTCTGGCCTTTCAGCTGCTCCACTGACCCAGTTAGGCAGAGGGGAGCCGTCTGCTGCGCTCAGAGACTACATTCACACTTTACCCTCGTTTTTTATTCAGATATGTTTGAATTTTCTAAATAGAGATACATATAAAATAGGATACATAACTGCAGTAAATGGGAAAGTTATATATGTAATGTTGTCTCCTGCGTCCACAAGAGGGCGCTCAGCTTAAGCAGTCAAGCATCTCCAAACACTCACATTGAAATTACTTTAAAAATAAAATTAAAACTACTGCGACACCTCCAGTGCTTCTATAAAACTGCAAATGTGATAAAACACTCTAGTGTCCAATACAGAATCTGTTATTACTAATAATAATTACCAAGCTAGTAGTTAATTAGCACTAGGCTCTGGTTGATGTGCATCTTTAATAATGTTTTCTAATAACGTGCCACGTTTAATTACTTTGTAATGAGATAATGAAGCCATAACCGATCCTGCAAAGGCAGTAAAACTTGTTTTGGAGGGAAAATGAGGAGTTTAAATCTCATTTTTAAAAAGATTTAACCAACATATTTGAGTGTATTACCTTTGTTTATTTGATTCGTCGCTGTAGCGGAAATAAAACTGAAATCTAATGTCTGAGATTTCCTGCTGCGTTATTAGCACCTCGTCCCAAACTGCATACTAGCTCACTAAATAGTGTGTAAAAATATCCCATTCGAAGTGCACTCATTAGTGCAGTAGGTGAAGTACAGAGGTGTTTTGGTTTGGGACGCAGCGATAAATCAGAGAGAGGCTGATCGTTAGCTGCTCATCTCCAAACAAGTTTAAGGTATTTTCTGATTTGGTGCCTGATTATTTTAGGTGGAACAGCAAATTAAAAAAAGAAGATGGTGAATAAGAAGATAACTCCAGCTTAATTGTGTTTATTATTTAAAAATAATATTTAAGAATATTGGCAGTTTTGGTTTCCATTTTTATCAGTCTTTATAAAATCTCACTCACCTGAATTTTCTGAGAGGTTTGCAGGTGATACGGATCCACCAGTCTAGCTGATCTTCTCCTCATAGTGTTGAGATGCATCTGAAGTGTCCACATACACCGATCAGGCATAACATTCTGACCACCTCCTTGTTTCTACGCTCATTGTCCATTTTATCAGCTCCACTTACTATATAGGTGCACTTTGTAGTTCTACAGTTACAGACTGTAGTCCATCTGTTTCTCTGATACTTTGTTAGCCCCCTTTTACCCTGTTCTTCAGTGGTCAGGACCCCCATGGACCCTCACAGAGCAGGTACTATTTGGGTGGTGGGTCATTCTCAGCACTGCAGTAACACTGACGTGGTGGTGGTGGTGTGTTAGTGTGTGTTGTGCTGGTCTGAGTGGATCAGACACAGCAGTGCTGCTGGAGTGTTTAAACACCTCAGTGTCACTGCTGGACTGAGAATAGTCCACCAAAAACATCCAGCCAACAGTGTCCTGTGGGCAGCGTCCTGTGACCACTGATGAAGGACTAGAGGATGACCAACACAAACTGTGCAGCAGCAGATGAGCTATCATCTCTGACTTTACATCTACAAGGTGGACCGACAAGGTCTAATAGAGTGGGCAGTGAGTGGACACAGTGTTTAAAAACTGTCTGATCCACTCGCACCAGTACAACACACACAACTGACCACTGTAGAACAGGGTAAAAGGGGGCTAACAAAGTATCAGAGAAACAGATGGACTACAGTCTGTAACTGTAGAACTACAAAGTGCACCTATATAGTAAGTGGAGCTGATAAAATGAGAGCGTAGAAACAATGATGTCATAATGTTATGGATGATCGGTTTGCCTTTTCATGTATTCATGGTCATTCTGGTCTGTGTTGTTGGTGTTTATCCTCCTGCAGGGCTGTATCTGCAGTAACGGTGATGAGACGAGCGCAGTCAGAGTTACAGCTCACCTAGACACAGAGACGCGCTCTTCTTAATGACCCAGTACAGTGCTATGAACATCTTCAGGCCAGACTCAGCCAATCAGCTTTTAAAGTCCATGTAAAGTGAATTGTAAAAGTTGTAAATTGTTTCTAAACACTTTATACATATTAGACAATAATTGCTGAAAACCTGAAAATACTGTGAACTATGCAGTACTGAATTGCGGACCATTAAACTGTTTTTCATTGTTTTTGTGTTCAGGATTTTATGGGTGGGCCTGAAATCATAATTATCATGACCCCTCCCCTAACACTATACCAGTATGAAAACTACAGCGTATTAGAATCAGTGTTTTTCCCACACAGTCACAGAATGTTCTGTTCTGTTTTGTTCTGTGTTATTCATCTTTACTTTTAGGCTATGCTAATCAGTAATACCTGTTGCTAAGTTGCGTAAATGGGAGAGAAAAATGGCCGCTCTGTTGCAGACTGAGAGGAACGAGGTTGATTCTCGGGTAGGTCAGTGTCCTCTGGCTCTAGTAGCTCAAACATGTATGGTGGTTAAAGTCCAGTACAGCTGCTGAGTGGAGCCTCCATTCAGGTCATAGTGGTACTTAACACTTGAGTGAGGCTGCACTGTCAGCTGAAGCTCTGCTAGCAGCTTCATTTCAGTCCAAGAGAGGCTTTGCACTGATATTCTCTAATGTCTCTCCATAAACGGACCTGTCCTATTTTTCTCGCTCTCGCTCCCTTTATTTGAGTCCCTGAGCGACATTTGCCTGAGTTGCCTCATGGGAGCCACCAGAGCTGCTTGTGTCACCACCAGAGTTTCAGACCTCACCCTCATGAAATGACCCTCCTGCTGCTGCATAAACTCAGTTTATCTAATTAACCGTTGCTCCACCTGTTTTTCCCCGTTTTGTATTCTAATAATTTATTCTAACACTGTTTGCTATCTGGTGTGGTCCAGAGGAGGATGGGTTCCCCTTTTGAGTCTTGGTTCCTCTCGAGGTTTCTTCCTCTCGCTCTTAGGGAATGTTTTTTTTTCTTTCTTTTGGCGACGCTCATGAGGGCTCTGACCCGGATTTTTCTGTAAAGCTGCTTTGTGACAACACCTGTTGTAAAAAGCACTATATAAATAAACTTTGACTGACTTGACTTGACTTTGCTGCCCAACCAAGCTAACGGATATGCTAACATTAGTACGAAGGCTGATGTTGGCTTCCTGTTCACCAGCTTCTTGTTTACGTTTTCCCGTTCCACCTTAAATGGCGCAGCAGTTACATTCTGTCGAACACGAAGCTCAAGAAAGGCTGCACCTTTTCCTGAGAGTGGGCGTGGCTTCAGTGCCTTCAGGGACACACCCCCATCATTTCAGAGCAAAGAACTGCTTATTTTTCAAATTTTGAAACCTAATTTTATACACTTACCGATTTCTTTAATCTTTAAATCTTGGCTGAGAAATTAATAACACATTTTTCTAAAAACACATTTATTACTGATTTACACAGACTTTAACCTGACAGGCCTGGACAGGGAGTGTTTCACTGGGCGTCTTCTCAGGTGTTTGTGTTTTGTTTGTACAGGTGAGCGTCTGAAGGGCAGTGAAGAGGAGCTGGCCGGAGCTGTTGGAGCGGTAGCTGTGGAGGAAGGAGATTCAGACTGAGCCAATCCATATGGATCTCTTCTGGAAGATCACACTAGCTGCTAACTTCAGCATATCAGCTAAAGTGACTTGTCCAGACTCCGCCCACAGTAAAGATCCCATCAAACCTAATGAGAAACTGTAGAACAGACTCAGTTTATATCACAATACCTACATTTAGAGTCGGTTATTCATTCAGCCTAATGAGAAACTGTAGAACAGACTAAGTTTATATCACAATACCTACATTTAGAGTCGGTTATTCATTCAGCCTAATGAGAAACTGTAGAACAGACTCAGTTTATATCACAATACCTACATTTAGAGTCGGTTATTCATTCAGCCTAATGAGAAACTGTAGAACAGACTCAGTTTATATCACAATACCTACATTTAGAGTCGGTTATAACTGCAGTTTATATAACTATACCTATATTTAGGTTGAATGGAATTTTTGCAGTGTTCTGTAAAGCTTGTTCAAACCCACAGCAGGTGCTATGAAAGAACCCATTTGTGGGCGGAGCCTGGAGAGGGGAATTTTATTGCTGAGCGTCAGCATTCAGAGCTGAACAGGTTGTGGGTTTGCTGTGTGAAAGAAAGCGAGTCTTTTTTGTTCTTTTATGCTTTTCCATTAAATGAAAACATATTTTTTTATACTGAGTCTGATTTCTTCTGCTGTTTAATTCCAGGCATGTTTAAGGTAGAAGTAGGTCCCACTGAAGCTGATTCGTACAGGATAATGGATGAATTGTCATATTATTAAACACAACCATCAGTGTCATAAAACAGTAGAAGCCATATCGCCCCCTACACTTCCTGTAGTGTATTACAGTGTGTCAGAGTGACTGTGTGGATCATATGAACATTATAGAGCCTTTTTAAATGAAACAGTAGAAGCCATATCGCCCCCTACACTTCCTGTAGTGTATTACAGTCTGTCAGAATGACTGTTTTTTGTTTTTAACTAAACGATTTCATTGATTGTCAGTTGCTGTAGCCCTAGCTGTGATGTACGAGAGCCAGTAGGTTATGAAATCAGGAAGCAGAGCCACGTTGTCTTATTTTATTTTCCTCTGGTGTCACTGAAATACAAGTAAACTGGAAATTTCCAAAGGCAAACGTTACAGTGAGTTTACAAACCTGTAAGAATGTCGACCGTACTGTGTAAATACTGTTTCATTTTATAGCTTCAGCAACATTTGTGTAAAATTTTTCATCTTTAAATGTTCACCTGCAGTACAGATTACACTGAATTAAAGATTTTTTTGCCAGTATAGTAATGAATCAAAACATAAAGGTCATAAGGAGGGCAGGTTTTCACTTTCCACACCATTTCTCTGAACCTTTACAGCTATGGAGATGGATCTCTTTCACATCAGAATAACTAAATATTACTCTATCCATTCATCTACCAACAGAAGAGCTTCGTCAAAATAGCACAGGCACAAACAACAACACATTTTTGGTTGAAATATTCACTAGTTCTATGGACAAAGCACCTAGTTTTGCCTCAAAATAAAGTGCATTTCTCATCTCTTACAATAGTCAAAATTGGCGAATAAAACATAAATCCTCAAGGAATAAATATGCCCATGCCAATGCCATACCGAGTATACTACACCTTTATAACACCTTTATAAGCCTCACAAACATTTAACAGCGAAAATTTCCTGATTATATAATATTAAATATGCATGGGGTTTAATTTTCCCTGACAATTCCTGCTAAATTAGAATTACAGACATGTTTACTGTGGAGCACTTCCAACCTATGAAGATGCTCTTATAATAATACCATAATTATCTTATAAGCACCTTTTAAGTCACCCTAGGATGCTGCACAATAATGATAACTGCAAATAAATGCTGTTTTTGGGCTCCTCAAAGCTTCTAACATGGACACCTCTTAAGGGTGTTATTGCACATAATGTGTAGGACAGGAAGCCTTGTTTAGCACATAGACATAAAGGAGCGACAAGTGACCCTTTGCTAAGCCCCCCCACCAGTTACTGTGATTCGATGGACCTGACTTGTAACTCACTCACTCATGTTTACCAAGATTGTCCACAAGGGGGAGCCACTGGCACCAGGCCCAGTGCTACAAGAGGACACAAAGGGGTGACACCCCCCTCGGATGGAGTACTGTGCCCCCCATATGGTGTTGTGTTGTAATGCTAATGCAGAAGAAAAGCAACAGTTGATAGTTGCAGCCCGTCACCCGCTGTTCATTAGGAGTCGTGACCCCTCAGTCATTTATTTCACCCTCTTGCCTCATTATTCCCACCATCGGGCCTGACTAGCACTGCAGTGTCTTCTGTGTATGTCCAGACCTGCAGGATGTCCTGTGGGGTAGAACATGCTGGTGCTTCGCATCAGTGACACAATGAGCCCGTTTACACCTGGTCACTTCATGCGTGTTGAGTATCAGGATTATATCTGGATGAGGTCAAACCACAAACATGCAAGACACATTTAAACCAGATACGAATCTGAGACCACTTCAGGAGGTAATAGCGTAAACACATCAGTCTCTCCAAGACACGTTCGACAACCAAAACCCCTCCCAGTATAACAGAAACTCCTCCCAGTACAATCAAAACTCATCCTAGTATAACAGAAACTTCTCCCAGTACAATCAGAACTCCTCCCAGTATAACAGAAACTCCTTCCAGTACAATCAAAACTCATCCTAGTACAACCAAAACCCCACCCAGTATAACAGAAACTCCTCCCAGTACAATCAAAACTCCTCCCAGTATAACAGAAACTTCTCCCAGTACAATCAGAACTCCTCCCAGTATAACAGAAACTCCTTCCAGTACAATCAAAACTCATCCTAGTACAACCAAAACCCCACCCAGTATAACAGAAACTCCTCCCAGTACAATCAAAACTCCTCCCAGTATAACAGAAACTCCTTCCAGTACAATCAAAACTCATCCTAGTACAACCAAAACCCCACCCAGTATAACAGAAACTCCTCCCAGTGCGATCAAAACCCCTTCCAATATAACAGAAACTCCTCCCAGTACAACCAAAACCCTTCCCAGTATAACATAAACTCCTCACAGTACAACCAAAACACCTCCCAGTATAACAGAAACCTCTCCCAGTACAATCAAAACCATTCCCAGTATAACAGAAACTCCTCCCAGTACAACCACTACTCCTCCCAGTACAACCACTACTCCTCCCAGTATAACAAAAACTCCTCACAGTACAACCAAAACACCTCCCAGTACAATCAAAACCCCTCCCAGTATAACAGAAACTCCTCCCAGTGCAATCAAAATTCCTCCTAGTACAATCAAAAACCCTCCCACTCCAAAACTCCTCCCAGTACAACCACTACTCCTCCCAGTATAACAAAAACTCCTCCCAGTACAATCAAAACTCCTAGTATAACTGATTTCAACGTTGAGCTTTGTGACTTTGAGACTGTTTACATGCTCAAAAAGCTACAACACACTAAAGGAAATGGGAAAACTGGGAAAGCATAATAAAAGTCCCCTTTAAGTGACTAAGCTATGACTTAGTATTTACCTTAATTATCTCATTCCCACAGCATACTAAGTTGTGGCCACTCATTATTTTTATTGATAAGGGATGTCACCAGCTTTCTGTACTCTAAAAACATTGCATATGAAAGCTTGTCAGCGGTGCCTGGGTCTAGATATGGTTGCTACGCTACAACTGGGCAGTGGATCTTAAGGCAAGGTGTTTAGCGAAGGGTCACTTACTTGTGTTCTATACTGTTGGATCATCGACTGATCACAACATCTGATACCAAAACACGTTTCAGCGCCTCAGTGAAAAGTAAAAGACAGACTTAAAATGACATCACAGCTATTTTTACCGGAGACACACGATACTCAAATCATATCTGTGTCGGCAGAGAGTTACTTAAAAGAGCTGCAGCACTGGACGTTCAGATTTGGGTTACTCCACTAAAATATCCGCATGTTATTCATGTTACTGCTTTATAACCCGACAGAAATAAACGTTACTGCATATCCAGATGGATTTAGACATGTTATACACCGATCAGGCATAACATTCTGACCACCTCCTTGTTTCTACGCTCATTGTCCATTTTATCAGCTCCACTTACTATATAGGTGCACTTTGTAGTTCTACAGTTACAGACTGTAGTCCATCTGTTTCTCTGATACTTTGTTAGCCCCCTTTTACCCTGTTCTTCAGTGGTCAGGACCCCCATGGACCCTCACAGAGCAGGTACTATTTGGGTGGTGGATCATTCTCAGCACTGCAGTTACACTGACGTGGTGGTGGTATGTTAGTGTGTGTTGCGCTGGTGTGAGTGGATCAGACACAGCAGTGCTGCTGGAGTTTCCACTCACTGTCCACTCTATTAGACACTCCTACCTTGTTGGTCCACCTTGTAGATGTAAAGTCAGAGACGATAGCTCATCTGCTGCTGCACAGTTTGTGTTGGTCATCCTCTAGTCCTTCATCATTGGTCACAGGACGCTGCCCACAGGACGCTGTTGGCTGGATATTTTTGGTTGGTGGACTATTCTCAGTCCAGCAGCGACACTGAGGTGTTTAAAAACTCCAGCAGCACTGCTGTGTCTGATCTACTCAGACCAGCACAACACACACTAACACACCACCACCACGTCAGTGTTACTGCAGTGCTGAGAATGATCCACCACCCAAATAGTACCTGCTCTGTGAGGGTCCATGGGGGTCCTGACCACTGAAGAACAGGGTAAAAGGGGGCTAACAAAGTATCAGAGAAACAGATGGACTACAGTCTGTAACTGTAGAACTACAAAGTGCACCTATACAGTAAGTGGAGCTGATAAAATGGACAGTGAGTGTAGAAACAAGGAGGTGGTCAGAATGTTATGCCTGATTGGTGTAAATGTTTAGGCGAGTACACACAAAAATATCAACAGATATCAATTCCCATATCGGTGCATCCCCAGTTTTTGCAATAATGTGCAACTGCATCATTTGAATAACAGTTTCCAGACAGCAGATGAGTTAAAGTGATGGTACAGTGGTTACAGTACACAAACAGCTGTGATCTCTTGTGATGTCAGAAAGATATTATCTCAAATCTGTGCATCTAAGAACATCCCACCGGCAGAACTTCCCTATAAAGCAGGGAGCCGTGGTTTATGCAGTAGTATTGCAGTGAGGCAGAGGTAAAGGGGATACTGAGGCTGGACATGCAGGCCAGACTGTCCGCGGTTCAGGTGTCCGCTGGAGCTCTCAAAAACGCCCACATGCTTTTTCCTCCATAAAAATAGGTGTTATTTTTGTACTATTGTGGCGTCCAGAAGCATAGCCCTTAAAGTAGAAAGGAGATCTCAACAGGAAGCTTTCAGACGAGCTGAGCTTCCCTCAGGATTAAAATGCTCCTGGATCTGGAGATACCGCTGTGAGGGAAAGTGTTCAGGTGGAATTCCACCGCTTTTTCAAAATCTCTCCATAACTCACTGTGTGAGGTGTAAACAGAGAAACTCAGAGAGGTTTGGTGTGAAATGGTTCAGATGTCTTTACAGTGGTGGTGATAGGAACCAGGGGTCGCCATGACTACAACACAAATATAGACATTTTATTTACTATCCAGAACCACCAGTGAACCTACACAAGTCTTCTGAGTTTATATGGAATGTTGATGATGGAAAATAGTGGAAAATCTGAAATAATAAGTTTTCTTTGGGGACTATTTTGCCTCACAGCGCCCTGCATGTATCCCTCCACCATGAATGGAGTTTAAGTTCTCAAAACTATCATAAAACAGTGTCTCAGTCATCAGGCAGTGAATTCATAACCATTTCATGTAGGAACTTTCTGTGAGGGAGCTTTTAGAGGTGGACGTCTGGTTCCCATCACCACCACTGTGAACAGTTCTGACTCAGTAAGTTTCTCTAGAACTGAGAACCACTCTGAACGACTCATTTTACATCTTAACCATTTAATTAGGCAGCAATTTTGAAAAGTTGGTGGAGTTCCCCTTTTAGTTTAGTTAACGTTTTCCCCCCTGTGGCCTCCACTCTCGATTTTGCGTGCAGCGGGGCCCAGCTCCACTTTGCAGACACGCTGTGCAAACTTCAGTGAGCAAAGAGTCTCTCCAACGTTCCTCTCCAGAGAAGAAATCTGGAAAACACGACAAAATCATGACTAATCAAACATCAGCAATCTGTGTGTGTGTGTGTGTGTGTGTGTGTGTGTGTGATGTACAGAAGCTTTTAGTCATGCAAAGGGTTCTTTGAGTGTTCATGGTTCTATATAGAACCATTGCCTTTACTAAAGAACCCATTTGTTAGAGACTCTCACAACTCCAACATATCAGATATGCATCGTGCAAATCTGCAGAGCTGTGTGTCAAGTTGGGGGGGCCGAGACCCAAACAACCCTCGACCCGAACCAGAACTAACACAAAACCAAAGTGGAGCAGTTTGAGGATTGCGCTGGCCGAAGATGACGTTACAAACTTCTTCAAAACCCGTGCCGTGAGTATTAATTCTTGGAGAGAGAAGACAAATGTACATTCTGGCTTAAGGCTCATTGACATGATGTGCATTTTTCCATCATTTTTCAAAAAATAATTTAATAAATACATTACATATATCAAATTACTCAACAGTACTTCTTTTATGTGAAACAGTTTTCAGGGCATCCATATGAAATTCATTTTCTTTTTGCCTCCAAAAGTCTAAAAATGTCGGTGGTGCAACCGTCCAACTATATACATTGATTAGGTAAACTATCAAAAAGGTAACTTAGTTATAAAATTGTAAATACAATAGTTTGTCATGATTATGTTTGAAAACTTTAAAATAAAAGCCATCTTGCAAAATGAGGCAACTTTAAAAGTGCTCAACTCACTGAAGAACCTTTGTCTGCAAGTTCCTGTTTCCTCCAATGTCAGGCAGCACAACCAAAAACAAAGGACTTTTATTTTGACATGCTTTTATGAAAGAGGGGCCAGGGTATCATAAAGAAGACCCCAAGTGACCTTCATGGTTCAATGCCAAGGTCAGATTCAGTAAAAGTGTGATGTTTGAGTCGTGGTTAGAACGGTTCAGTTTACCATGTCAGGTGTTCTGACCTCAGGAGAACCATGAACATATGGAATTATTATAATACTGTTTATTTATTTGAAAACGTGAGTATAAACTCAACTTGAAGGACAAAGGTTTCTACAGGTGTCTAAGTAGATACAGAAATTAGTCTGAAAAGTCAGGTGGCGTAACCAGTCAGTCAGATGGAGCAACCAGACCAGCACAGTCTAGTAACTGAAACAGACAATTAAAGCTTTTATAACACTCACTATGTTAGAATATAATATATTAAGATAAATACACAGAGATAGAAATGCAAATATAAAAATATACATATGCAGATATGAAAATGCACATCATGTCCTTTTTAATAATATTTTCTGAATCTTGTCATTTTGGAAACCTTATTTGTCACTGACCCTTAAGCGAACTGGCTAATAACAGATGCAGTGAGGCAGGTGAGTGTGACCTGTACCTGCACCACCATGGCGGTTTTGTTGCCCTTGCCCAGTGAGTCCTGCAGTAGGTAGGTCAGTCGTGAGTTCCTGAACGGGATGTGTGTCTGGCGCCCTCTCAGGGCCTGGATGACGTCTCCCAGAGCCAGCAGCGAGCGGTTGATGTTCTGGGCCTCCTTCAGCCGCTCCCCCTCCGCTCCGGACTTCCACACTCGCTCAGAACCCGCCAGGTCCACCAGGTTCAGCTTACCTGCCGCACAGAGGCAGAGGAGTGAATGAATGAATGAATAAATAAATGAATGAACCATGAACCAGAACCATGAACAATTACAGAACCATTTGCCTGCTTTTAGTTTTTTTTTTTGCATGGTGAAATGGTTCTTCAGATTGATGGAAAATGTGTTGTAGATGGTTCTCCATAGGACAATTTTGAAAAGGGTTCTATATAGCACCAAAAAGGGTTCTTTTATTGTTGCTCGACATCGTAACAATAGCAGAATGCCTTTCGGTGCTGTATAGAACCATGTACAACACATTCCCCATCAATCAACCATTTCAAAATGCAAAGAACCATTAAAGCATGCAAATGGTTCTTTAAGTGGTCACAGATCTATATAGAATTATTTGTCTTCATCAATGTGATTTTTTTAATGTACACTTTATCTCATATTTAATTTAGTGCTCTTTATTCATAGCAGATATTATATTCTAATGAAATTGTCATTTGTATTCAACACTATTGTGATTGTTTCACAACATTTACGTGAAACAGCAGCTGGAGAGAGTCAGAGCTAATGTTGAGAACCGAACGCTCTGAAAAGACTGTGACGCTGACCGGAGGATTTGGTCCCGGTGGCGAGATCCACTCCCTGTACGGTGACGGTGAGCAGGGCGTGGGAGCGGGAGCTGTGCTGGTTCATCTGCGTCCCAAACGTTATCCTGTTCCTCCGAGCTGTGGCCAAAATCTGCACAAACACATACAGACAGGAACGCAGACAGATACTTAATGAAATTTTTTTTGTGATTGTAACAACAGAAGGAACGCTTTTTGGGGCTATATAGGATATATAGAACCATATACAGCACGTTCTCTATCAACCTGAAGAACCCTTTCACCGTGCAAAGAAGCCTTTAATCATGTAAAGGGTTCTTTGAGTATTCATGGTTCTATATAGAACCATTTTTTACTAAAGAACCCTTGAAGAACCATCTTTTATAAGTGTACAGCCAAAAACTGTGGGAGAATCCAAAGTGGTAAGACTTTTCTTGGTAGCTGTAAAACGTGCCATTAGCATCCTTCACTGAATCGAAGAGAACTGAGTGAGTCTTCATATAAAGGTCTGTAGAACAGTGAGATCAAGTCAATTACATAATATATCTGCTGCTTTAGAACTTTCCCAGAACATATGCATAACTGTAGCAGGTGCAGTTACAGATATTGCAGGTGTAAAGTTTGATATCTCCTGTAAGGTGTTGTATGTCGCTGCTGTTGGAAGAAAACCTCGTATCTCCATTTTTGTCGTTTTTCAGTTTTGGACATAATTTGAAAATTGTTGTTCTTTACATTGTATGTAAATTTCATGAAGAATGGACCAACAAAAACGGCCCAAAATGACTTGGGAAAAACTCTGGTTCCATTGACTTACATTAAAAGTAAAGTAGGTTTTTTCCTTCTCCTGTAAAGTTACCATTTTGAAGATTCGAGGTTTTTGTCCGACAACAGCGATTTGCTCTGTGAAGTATTTTCTAATGGATAAACAGATGAGCTGAATTTTCAGAGGTTTGACTCAAAATAGACCAAATAGTTTTCCAGTCCAAAGCAGGAGCAGTAGAGGAAGACTCTGCACCCAGAGCTGTTCAACTGCCACCTGCTTAGTGTGACAGTCTACCAGAGTATTACATATAAACGATCTGCCCCATAGATTGTCCAGAGGTCTTGTCCAGTCTGCCAAGGGGCAAGACTTGGGAGTGCTGAAACGGCAGAACCAATACCGCTGGAGAAACAGCCAGGGGCAGAACCTGGAAGGGCAGGACTGACCAATCAGAATAGAGCAGGCGAGCATAATCAGAGCACACTGAGCTCATCGGGAGGCGGGGCTTAAAGACACAGGAGCTCCAACAGAGCGTTTCAGACAGAGGGTGAATTGAGATGAACAGTGTGAGGAAAATAATGTGTTTTTGGATCATTGAATCATCTAAATCTATTCTAGTAGAGCAAAAATAAAACTATGGACAGTGAAAATGAGAATGATGGGTCCCCTTTAAAGTTCAGAATATTTTTTTCCTTCTTCAGATGAAACTTTAGATGGACTCACCTTTTTGATATGCTGAAAGCTCTTGACCTCTTTGACCCTGAGGCCAGGTACATGCAGCTGGCCGGTTCCGTCAGGGTTTATTTTTATGTCTAGCTTTTCCCCATCCTTACTCAGCAGATCCCTGAGATTTACAAAAAAGAAAAAAAAAACATTTGTTTCATGAAATCAGCCGTACACTGCATGACTCGCTAAATACAACAGTGTAGCGCAGGAGCGTCCAGTCTTATCCGCAGTTGGCCGGCATGGCTGCAGGTCTTCTTTGTAACTAAGCAGGTTAGTGAGCTCACCGGATCAGATGTTTGAAGACTGAAACTGACTGATTATATGAGTGTAATCAGCTCTGCTTGTTTGGAATGAAAACCTGGACCCAGATTGGCCCTTTTGTGGACAAGACTGGACACCCCGGGGGCACGCTCAATCTCAAAACGTTCTACACCATTTTGCTACGGATTCTGGGCTGAACGACAGGTTTCATCCAAATGGTGAGAAGCGGTGTGCAACAGGCGTTTTCTCTTGTTTGATTGGCATGTCAAAGATGTTACCCAATCAGCAGCGACATGTAGATAAACCCCGCCGTGCTAAAACCCTGCTGAAAAAAAAACACAGAACCCATTAAAAGGTTCCTGGTGGTGTCCAGTAGTCACAAATGGTGTTCTGTGTTTTCCTGATGGGCCATTATCACAGTGTAAAGGACTCTAATGGTTTAACAGGTGTGATTCCAGACATACTTGATGGTTTCCTAACATGATCTAAAGATGTCCCACAGGAAACTAGTGGAGCCATTAAGTCAATTCCCATTAGAAAGCGAAACCATCAGGCTGTAATCCTAATGGTTCTAATGGTCTTCAGCAGGGAAGGCAGTGAACTCAATGGATTCTAATAAAGTCCTTGACAAATGCAGCCACTGCAGCTTGGTGTGCATAATGGCAAATCCAACACTGAATGTCTTCTGTGGTCATTTATCAGTTTCTCTGTGTTGAGTTATTTTTGTTGTTAGCATTGCTGTTAGCCGTGCACTGATGCCTTGGTTTGAATCTGTCAACCAATCACAGGCTGTGTTCCTGACTTGTCGACCAATCAGAGACTTTATTCCTGATTGTCAACCAATCACAGGCTGTGTTCCTGACTTGTCAGCTAATCAGAGGCTGTGTTCCTGACTGGTTGACCAATCAGAGGCTGTGTTTCTGTTTTGTCGATTAATCAGAGGCTGTGTTCCTGACTTGTCAACCAATCAGAGGCTGTGTTCCTGACTTGTTGATGGAACAACGCAACCTTTCCAGACAAAATAAAAGCACATCTCCAGCAGGCAGAGTTCCCGAGATACTTATTCTTTAGTGTACAATGTCATTTGATGTTGCATATGACATCATCGACCTGTAAGGGTTAATGGTGGTGAATGCTTATTTTCTTTGTATTCAACAAATAACTTGTGCATAGACAGTAGAGGTGGAGAGCTACCTGAGAACCTCGTTGTAGATTTCCACAGAGCTGACAGTGACCGTATACGTCCACATGTCCTTCCTTTCCTCAATCTCATTGAAGAGGTGTTTCAGCGCTCGCTGGTTAATGCCTGGATTCTCCACGGGGCCCTGAGCAGAGACAGAAAGTGTATCACCGCTTGACAACCTCCATGAATAACTGATGGGAACAGATCAGCCAGAATAAGACCGTTAAAAACGTTTTCATTAGTCATGAGTCGTTTATTGGACACGGTCCCTCCGTTAAGGCCCTGTACCTCCATGGTGTAGGTTTTCCCCGAGCCGGTCTGGCCATAAGCGAAGATGCAGACGTGATACCCGTCTATGCAGGATGTAATCAGGGGCTCGATTTCTTGAAACACCTGAAAATGTAAAAACACACTTTGGGATGATTTTCTAGACATGGAGTCTAATCTAGTGGACTAAACTGCAATATCAGTGGAGGTTCACCATGAAACGGTAATTCATTTGCAGTATGAAAACACTTTTTTGGGTGGTTTGGACGGTAACACTTTCTATGAACGTCACGTTTGTAAGCATCTATAAACACATTCATAATGTTAGAATGCATTCATAAGGCGTCATAAACATGGCTATAAATATTTATAATAATGCATTACACATTATAGCCACGCTTATTATGCATTATGAATTGTTAGCATAATGCATTATAAGTACTGTTCATAACTAAATTATAAGTGCTCATAAGTGGTATTTGTCCGCTCTAAGTAAAGTGAAGCGTACTGTACTAAAGCCTCCTCCAGTGTTCAGAGTGAGGCTTCAAGTTGAAGGATTTACTGAAACACTAAAACATTCACAGTAAAGCACATTACAGGCTTCAAATGTCAGAGTTTAAACTAGAGCTGCCATCAGTGTTTTACCCAATGTGGGAAAGGTAATGTACACCACAGTTAGCTTGGCACTAACATAACACTGCATATCCAATAGAATGATAGCAGAAATTAGCATTACTGCACTGTACTGTAGTGATGTTGCAGAGTGAAGGGTTCTAGTGTTTGATGTTAGAACCAGTGAGGGAACAAATTACAATGACAGCACTCTACTATCTCACCTCTCCCTCTCCAGGCCTTCACTCCACAGTGACTTCACGCTCAGTGTGATGTCAGAGGGGGTTTAGGGGAGGGGCTGATGGGTACTTGGTTTGCTGTGATGTAATGTAGTGTTTAAAGTGAGAGCGCTGGGTAAGAAAAGCTCACTGTAGCAGTGATTCTAGGCTGGACAGCCAGTTTGGATCATCTGAATATTCAGGACCCCGAAGATGCAGCTCTAACAGCACCAGCACTGAGAAACAAAACACTGGAAATCTCAGGGCGTCAATAAACTCTGTATTTGTCTTTACTTTACACTCTCCAAGCTGGGACTGACTTCTTTGGCACTGACAGTATAACATGTTATTAACTTATAATGCATTATATTAACAATTTATAATGTGTAATAAACATGGCTATAAAGTGTAATTCAGTTTAATTCATTTTTATAAATACTTATAACCATATTTATAATGCCTTATGAATGCATTCTAACATGTTATAAATGTGTTTATAGATGCTTACAAATGTGACATTCATAGAAAGTGGACCAATTACAGGACGTTGAGGCAGGCTATTGTCACCCAATAAACAACAGAAGAAGAAAAAGAACCGGGAGAGAAGTACAAATGAGCCGCAGTAGCACCTGGGAAGAGGAGGAGACCAAATATTTAACTGGAATTTGGTACAAAGAAGAAGTAAAAACTGAACTTGAAAAAACTGACCACACAACGCTCCTTTACAAACCAATCAGTGTCCAGTACAGATGCGACAGGACGCAGGTGTGTCATGCAAAGTTCTTTAGTGCTCTCGTAAAATTGCAGTGTGAAACCAAAACTAACAGGATCGAACTGGTTCAGACTTTCAGGTGTGAAAACGTCCTGTATGTCCAATTGTTTATAGACGCAGCTGCTCCTGCTGAGTTTCCTCTGAAATGAAGGTGTTAATAGTGAGTCTGTGCTGCAGTAACAGCCTCTACTCTTCTGGGAAGGCTTTACACTAGATGTTGAACATTGCTGTGAGGATTTGATGGAGCATTAGTGAGGTCAGGTTCTGATGTTGGATGGTCAGTTCTGGGTCACTCCAACTCATCCCAAAGGTACTGGATGGAGCTCCACCACTCCAGAGAACACAGTTCCACTGCTCCACAGCCCAATGCTGGGGGGCTTTATACCCTTCTAGCCCATGCTTGGCATTGAGCATGGTGACCTCAGGCCTTAGACCTTTGAAGAACTGTCCGTAAGCTTTTGGAGTGCTTGTGCATGGTGCAGCTAGCGGTCGAATATATTCTCTCGCTCACTATTAAGAGTCCCACCTTCCAAAGTCCAGCTAAAGCTCTGATTCTGACGGTTTGTGTTTATATGTTTGCTGAATGCTCACCTCCTCTTGAGTGGCCTGAGGGTGAAAGACTTTGTCCAGCTCGAATGTTTTCGCTTTCCCCTTACTGAGAACTGTGAGGGCTGATTCATTATGAGGATCTGTCGTCACGACGACCGCCTGGCCTTCTTCGTGCTCGTCCTCCTTCAGCACCGGCTTTACACGGCACAGGACGCGGATGTTGCCTGTTGGAAGAAAGACGCATTTTATTAGAGCTTCATTCCTGATGTTCTACTGCTCTCAGTCACTTTAGAGCGTTCTTCAGCTCTGCTCATCATTAAGCATTCCTTCATCTTCAACACCACTGTTACCTGAATAGATTCTAATAATAATATTCTAGCATTATTTTTCATTTTGTCAGCTAACTCGTCCCTGCAGGCTGCAGGATATACACACCGTTCCAACTCTGGAATGTTCAGTCTGATCAGGATTGGTGTGCTTGTAAACAGCTTTTTGATCGGACATACGGTTTTCGTACAATCATTGTTATATCACAGTGATACAAGTCCATTAGCAACACCCTATTAACCATGTGGGATACCACAGCAACAATACAGCAACTCCCTAGCAACCATCAGGAATACCATAGCAACCACCTAGCAACACTCCAGCAACCACTTGGAATACCATGGCAACCCCTTAGAAGCCATTAGAAACACCACAGCAACCGCCTTGCAACACCCTATCGACCACTTGGGATTTCACCGTAACCCCTTAGCAACTATCAGGAATACCATAGTAACCCCCTAATAACCATCAGGAATACCACTGCAACCGCATAGCATCTCCCTAGCAACCACTTGGAATAACATAGCAACCACCTAGCAACTGTGATAACATAGCAACCCTGTAGCAACCATCAGAAATACCACAGGAAACGCCTAGCAACACCCTAGCAACCACTTGGGATACCATAGCAACCACCTAGCAACTGACTAGGATACCATAGCAACCCCCTAGCAACCATCAGGAATACCATAACAACCAGGAAACTGCAACAAATGGTGATCAACACCTTAGCAACCACCTAAAATATCATGATAACCATCTGGCAGCGACCATAGCAACTGTCTAGCGGTTTAAGCTGCACAGTAACATTTATCATTTACATTGATCTGCAACTGTATTGGTTGTTAAGATATTGAAAACATCAGGGGGCAAAAGTTTGTACAATCTTTTCAGCCAGTACTGTACATTTTTATCTACCAAATACGGGACACTCTGCGTTTACCTTTCAGCTCCACCAGCTGCTCGTGGTATTTCCTGCGAAGAGCCACTTCCTTCCTGTACTTCTCCAGAAGGTCCTTGTTGGCCTCCGACATTTCATTTATAGCTGCCGAAATCTGCAGAGCCCCAGCACAACACACAGGTTTATAAAGAGAGCCAACAGCAAACTGAAAGAACGAGACGAAAGCTTCTTCTGCGAAGGGCCGTTTGACCACTGGTCAGCAAAGCTGTTCCCGACCCATCCAGCTCTTGCGGTGTCAGAACACCCGATTGGGAAATGTGATCAGGTTTGTAAAGTTTCCCTGTGCGATCATTTCTACTCGCCTGTTTCTTGGCCTCTTTGATAGCTGCTCCATAAAACTCAGAGAAGTTGCGGACCTGGCTCCGCAGGCTGGCGTAGTCCGTCTTCATGGAGCGCAGCGTGGGGGGAAGAGCGTTCAGGCGCCTCTGCAGGGCTGATAATCACACATACTCACACATTATTTTTTACTGAATCAGATTTTGGTGAGAAACATTCACTTCATATTTTAATATGAACAGATTATGGGACCCAAAACGTAGTTAGATTTGTCATGACAAGCTAACACAGCTCTTTCCATAATAACTGCTTTTATCAAAATCACACGTGAAAAAAGAGCAATTTTCAAAACACAAGACCTGCAAAGTACAGCTGTATGCAAAAGTTTGAGCGCCCCTGGACCAACGACATGCTTTGCTGATTTTCTCAGCTAAAATAAGTACAAAATCTAGAAAAATATCATGTAAAGTAACTTAGGTCACAAAATGAGGGCAAATAAGCTAAAGGTGTTCATTTGTCAGATGCTGAAAGGTCTGATATCATTAGATGGGATATGTTACCACAGGCTATTAAAGGGAAACTCACAGATTTTCCAAAATTTCTGCATAATTCAATTGTTGAGATGTCATTCAGAGTGGTTTGGTGTGAAATGGTCCAGATGTCTTTACAGTGGTGGTGATAGGAACCAGGGGTCGCCATGGCTACAACACAAATATAGACATTTTATTTACTATCCAGAACCACCAGTGAACCTACACGAGTCTTCTGAGTTTATATGGAATGTTGATGATGGAAAATAGTGGAAAATCTGAAATAATAAGTTTTCTTTGGGGACTATTTTGCCTCACAGCGCCCTGCATGTATCCCTCCACCATGAATGGAGTTTAAGTTCTCCAAACTATCATAAAACAGTGTCTCAGTCATCAGGCAGTGAATTCATAACCATTTCATGTAGGAACTTTCTGTGAGGGAGCTTTTAGAGGTGGACGTCTGGTTCCTATCACCACCACTGTGAACAGTTCTGACTCAGTAAGTTTCTCTAGAAACCAAACCGCTCTGAACGACTCTGTTGACATCTGAACCATTTTATTATGGATAAATTTAGAAAAACTCCCCTGTGAGGACATCACTTCTAGATGACTCACTCATGAACTGGTCCTGAAGGCTCTGCAGGTGCTCCTGTGAGCAGCTGGAAGCCGCCTTCACAGCCTCGTCTTTCTTCTCCTCCAAATGGCCGATCTCCTTCAGCAGCTCAGCCTGCAGCGTCCCGATCTCTCTCTCATAAGCCGCAATCTGCAAAAACATCCAGCAGCTGAGAACTCTCTGCAGGAGCTTTCTGTTCCTCACGTCAGAAAACGATAAAAGATTAATGAACCTCGATTCATTTAGAGATTCATTTACGCAGAACAGAGGATCTCTGCTTGAAGGGGAGCCTCAATGTCAAGCTGTGCGCTGTGGACTGAGTGTTAGTAATACTTTTCTCATGTTTTGAACAGGGTCTCAGCAACATGAAGATTAATCATTCCTTATTTTCGATACCGATATCAAGGGATTCTGGAAATCCAGTAACATCAGCCGATATATTTTAATAATGAAAATGAAACAGAATAAGGAAGGGTCAGCATCTTCAAGTGTAAAAAACAATAGTAAATTAGGATTTTTGACATGCAAATTAGCTTCTCTCTAATGTAGTATGTTCTCATATTTAAGAGCCATGAGCTGTCTGAACTCTATACTCCACCAGAGGGCGGCGTAGAGCTGCGTCTTAGAACCCCATTTCCAAAAAAAGTTGTAATAAAAACACAATGCAATGCAAATCATTTATACCCTATATTTCATTGAAAATAGAAAAAAGACAACATATCAAATGTTGAAACAGAAATTTTATTGTTTTTTTGAAAAAATATTTGCTCATTTTGAATTTGATGCCAACAAAACCTTCCAAAAAAGTTGGGACGGGGGCCTGTTTACCACTGTGTTTCATCACCTCTTCTTTAACTACACTCTGTAAGCGTTTGGGAACTGAGGAGACACTGCTGTAGTTTAGAAAGAGAAATGTTTTCCAAACTTGTTTGATACAGGATTTCAGCTGCTCATCAGTTCAGGGTCTCCTTTGTTGTATTTTTCATTTCATAATGTGCCAAATGTTTTCAGTGGTGACAGGTCTGGACTGCAGGCAGGTCAGTTTAGCACCTGGAGTCTTTTAATGCAGAGCAACACTGTTGTAATATACATGCAGAATGTGGTTTGAAGACGTCGTCTGGATGGCAGCATATGTTGCCAAAACATGTATATATCATTCAGCATTAATGGAGCCTTCACAGATGAGCACGTCACCCATGCCATGTGCACTAATGCCCCCCTACACCATCATGAACACTGGCTTTTGAACTGTGTACTGATAACAAGCTGAGTGGTCTTTATCCCGGAGGACACAGTGTCCATGATTTCCAAAAAGAATTTCAAATGATGATTCATCCACAGGACACTTTTCCACTTCGCCTCAGTCCATTTTAAATGAGCTCAGGCCCAGAGAAGGTGGCAGCATTTTTGGATCACAGACAGTGGTTTTCAGAAGTGTTTCTGAGCCCATGCAGTGATTTCCACTACAGAATCATGTCTGTTTTTAATGCAGTGCTGTCTGAGGGCCCAAAGATCACAGCCAGCCAATACTGGTTTTTGGCCTTGTCCCTCACATACAGAGATTTCTCCAGATTCTCTGAGTCTTTTAATGTTATATTGTACCGTAGATGATGAAAAACAGAAGTTCTTTGCTGTTTTACGTTGAGAAACGTTATTCTTGAACTGTTGCACTATTTGATGGTGCAGTCTTTCACAGAGTGGTGAACCCCTCCTCATCTTTACTTCTGAAAGACTCCGCCTCTCTGAGATGCTCTTTATACCCAATCATGTTACTGACCTGTTTCCAATCAACTACCAGGTGTTTTTTTAGCATTACACAACTTTACCAGCCTTTTGTTGCGCCTGTTTTTTTGGAATGTCTTGTCGCCATCAAATTTAAAATGTGCAAATATTTCTCAAAAAACAATAAAATTTCTCAGTTTCAACATTTGATATGTTGTCTTTGTAGTATTTTCAATGAAATGTAGAGTTTAAGTGATTTGCACATCAATGCATTTTGTTTTTATTTACATTTTGCACAGCGTCCCAACTTTTTTGGAAATGGGTTGTATGGTATGATTAGCTGAGGTGAAAACAAATACTTATTTGTCTATTTATCTCAAAGACTATATATTGACACCTATATTGGGCTAAAATTCGTCTACTATGGCTTTGTGATCTGGGTCACACATTAATACGGTACAGTAATAGTAAGATGCTGAATGGTGTCACTGTCTTCTGGTTTCTGTATAAAAGCTTATTTTCCTTATTTTTGTCAGCTCTGCTCACAAAAAGGTGTTACAACATGCCTTCCTCCCTAAATATCAGTAAACCTTAACAGTAATTTTAATATCAGCCGATATAATCAGGAAAACGATGTATCGGTTCAGCCCTTCTCTATGAAGCTGGTAACTGACCTTGTGCTGAAGATTGCAGCTGACTTCATCGGAGCGCCTGATGTTCTCCTCCAGCTGTCGGCACCTCTCGCTCTGACCGCTCAGCCTCTCTCTCAGCTGCTCGTTCCTCTGCCTCTCGTCGGCCAGCTGCCTCAGTGTGGATGGAGACTCCACTTCCACAGTCTGAGTCACGTACTGCAACAGAACCGACTTCATTCAGCTCAGCTATGATTATTAAAAATAAAAAAAGTCATTTATTTATCAGAGATGCACGTCTGTTTGGAAGTCTGGAAACACTTCTCATAACAACACGTTTACTTTTATATACAATAATAATAATAATAATAATAATAATAATAATAAAGTTATTAACCATACATAGGAGCTTTATTCAATGTTTAAAATAGTCTGGGAAGAAGAAGCAGCTACTAAATTATAAGTAATTTACTGTAATTATCCACACGCAGTTAATCTTTGATATCTTAAGTTATCTGTCTTGGAGATTTGATCACCTCTTTCAAAATACAGACCATTCTGGATCAAATGTTATAAAACTTTATTCTGGATGTAACTTTAATTCAAAATCATTGTGGATATTAATTCTATTAAAACTTCATGCTGTATATTAATTTTATTAGACCTTCATTCTGAATGTTACATTTCCTGCTTAAATGGTTCTCTGCATGGTGAAATGGTTCTTCAGACTGATGGAAAATGTGTTGTATGTTGCACCAAAAAGTGTTATTATACTATTGTTACAAGCTTGACATTCAAAAGGGTTCTAAAAAACATTCTCCATCAGTCTGAAGAACCATTTCACCATGCAAAGAACCATTTAACCATGCAAAGGGTTCTATATAGCACCAAAAAGGGTTCTTCTATTCTTACCAGCTTGACAGTGTAACAATAGCAGAACCCTTTTTGGTGGTATATAGAACTCTATATAGAACCATATACAACACATTCTCCATCAATCTGAAGAGCTATTTCACTATGCAGAGAACCAAATGTAGAACTTAAGCCTTTACTAAAGAGCCCAGCAGAGCTCTGACGGTGACCATAGCAACTGCAGACTGCTCTCACTTTCACCACGGGTTCTCTGCTGCGTTCTCTGTCCAGCTCCAGCTGCAGCTCGTGCACTCGTTCCTCTCTCCTCCTCAGCTCCTCTCCCCTCTGCCACTCGTTCTGCTCCAGGCGTGAGAGCTGCTCCGCGCGCTGCTGCAGGGCGCCCTCCAGCTGCAGAACGCGGCTGCGCAGGTTCTCGTTCTCCTGCATCATCAGACCAGACAGATACACACAAGAGCATCCATGCTTAGATATACACTCTTAAAAAAAGATGGTTCTTCAAGAGTTCCTTAGTAAAGACAATGCTTCAATATAGAACTATGAACACTCGATTGCACGATTTGCACGCGTATAGGGTTCTTTGCATGGTGAAATGTTCTTTAGATTGGTGTTGTATACGGTTCTACATAGAACCTTTTTGAAAATCGTTCTATATCACACCAAAAAGGTTGATATCGTAACAATATCAGAACCATGTTTGGTTCTACATAGAGCCATATACAACACATTCTCCATCAATCTAAAGAACCATTTCTCCATGCAAAGAACCTTTTAAGCATGCAAATGGTTACCTTTAAAGACCCTTGAAGAACCGTCTTTTTAAGGGTGTACTTAAGAATTATGGTTCTTCAAGGATTCCTTAGTAAAGAAGATGGTTCTATATAGAACCATGAACACTCAAAGACCTCTTGGCACGAATAAAGTGTTATTTGCACCATGAAAGGGTTCTTCAGATTAACGGAGAATGTACTGTAGATGGTTCTATATAGAACTTTTTTATTTAAGGGTTCCTTATAGCACTTAAAGAGTTCTTCAATTGCTTCAAGCTTGACATCGTAACAATATAAGAACCCTTTTGAGTGCTATAGAACCCTTTCGAAAGAGCTCTTTCATGATGCAAAGAATGCTTGAGTTCTTTGAGTGTTCATGGTTCTTTATAGAAACATTTTCTTTACTAAAGAACCCTTGAAGAACCATCTTTCCTATGAGTGTGCATTAAGATTACTGACTGAATAATACGCCTAAATAAGTTTCTTTTAGGATACATTAAAAGATGCTTTTTCCTTCTCCTGTAAAGTGACTGTATAAAGTTCTTTAATGAAGTGTAACTTGGTGTTCTGCTGCAGAACCTCTGAGATGAGGTCACACCTTGATGAGGACGGAGCTGGACTGAGATGGTATGATGGACAGCTGCTGCAGGAGGCCCTGAGTGACCGTCAGGCTGTGTTTCAGGCTCTCGTTCTCCACAGACAGACACAGCACTCGCTTCTCCGAGTCCGTCGCTCCCTGAAGACAAAGCACAGACGTTCAGACTGACCTGGAAAACGAAATCCACCCAGCTGAGCACGCGGAGAACCACATAAACCCTCGCCATGAATCAATTTAAGAGCTGCCTGGCCTGATTCTACTTCCACAGCACCCTTATTCCCCACTGCAGGCAGAGTAGAGGTGGGCGATATGAAGATACATTATCCTCATTGTGATAAATCACATCACAAAACTCTTTTCTGAGTATATGATGAGTCGGCATATCTAGAACAATGAACACCTGTATAGATCATAAAGACAGAGACCAGTTATAGAGTCTGTAAACAACCAACTGCATAGTAACGAGCTGGCTGGATGGCAGCCCATTATGACTAGAGGTGGGCGATACAGAAAAATCTTATATCACGATACTTCAAGATATTTTCACGATACACGATATGTCACAATATTGTTTTTTCAGACATCTAATCAGTTGAAACAAAAGAAACTGCATTTTGAAAAATGTTATCAAAGACTGAGAACATGATTTTTATTCAGTATTTGGCACTAAATCCAGTTTAACGGAATAATTTTACTCTCTTTCTAATAAAACATTTATTTGAGCAGTTTCTAAAAGTACTGGCGATATACACAATATGATCAGAAAAGCATATTGTATTGTGACATCATTTATCACGATAACAATATATATCGTCATATCGCCCATGACTTCATCTTGACTGATATTATTTTTGCTAACTGTCTGATATTTCCTGTTGCTTCTTAACTGGTTTATTTTTTGCAAAATATTTTTTGCTGGTGAATTTTGTCCTTTCCAGTTTGTTCAGAAACCTCAGGTAAACAGAAGACTGTGATACACACTGTGAAAATTTTGTGAAAGTGAACTGTGGCACCATGTTTGCTTGAAGCAGCACTCCCAAAGTAAAAGGGGGCGCTGTTCACGCATACTTTGGACAGTAGTGGTCGGCAACTTTAAGAAGAGCCAGCTGTAAATGTGTCTCAGTATGTGCTAATGTGCTAATACAGACTTTAAGATTTAGCTATAGCCTCTTTTCTTGCATCTCCGGCAGGAAACATTTCCAAAAGTAGAACAGTTTCTCGTAAAAAGTCACTCAAACTTCAACTTTTCACGAGGCTGAAGTCGCTTCTCATTCGCCAGCTTCTTGTTCTACTTTTCTCGTTCCACCTTAAATGGTGCTTGAGGCACCAGAATGTAACTGCTGCACCATTTAAGGTGGAACGGGAAAACTGGTGAACGAGAAACTGACATCAGTCTTGCAGTGTTTAAATTTTTGACAGCTTCTCATCGCAGTTTAAACGAATCAGGAAACCAGCTGGAGTGATTATAAATACAAATAAGTTCATTTGTCTCCAAATTATCAATCAATCAATCAATCACTGCTGTGAATAACGGATCATAGGATGGTTTGCAGAACCAAATCCTGAGATTTCAAGCTTTCTAACTGTATACTGCTTCATTGTATTGCTGGACAATTCAATGCAAAATATACATCTATAAAAAAAACTGGTTCAAGGGAAGTGTGTCGGTACAGTGATCTAGATAAGGTTAAGGCCCAATCCCACCCCCCCCACTCCCCTACCACTCAGCCCTACCCCTCTGTTTTGCGTGTTCTTGTCTAGGGGTGGGGTGTCCCGACTGTTGTTGAGATAGAGGGGTGAAGTGTTGGGGCTACATGACCCTCCAAACGGAGGTTTTTCAGACACTCCAAACAGAGAGTTATGAGAAAAAAGAAAAAACGGCAAGTTAAGTCTCTGTTAAAATTACGATAAGCATCGTATTTTCTTAGTTTAATGTTGTTTCAGTGTATTATGGTCCTTTTATTCATAACAAGCATAAAAAATCACTAGTATTGCTGACGTCTCAGTAGCTAAACTTCCTGTTCCACCTTAAATGGTGCAGCAGTTACATTCTGGAGCCTCAGGCATCAGAACTGCTGCTCCATTTAAAGTGGAACAGGAAAATTCAAACCAGAAGCTGGTGAATATCTGACTTCAGCTTCATATCACTGAAGAATTAGGGTGGGTGATAATAAATAACTGCCCCCCTCTTTGAAGGCATATGATGCCCTAAATGTAACTAAAGCCCAGCAGTGAGGAGCTGAACTTTACCCTCCTCTGCTGTCACTGCAGACTGGCAGGGTCGCCTACAGAGCAGCGCTGGTAGCTGTTAATGAAGTGATGCTCTTTTTATTTGAGGGTCCCATTTCAGAGGGAAGATCTCAACTACTACCCTGTATCTCAGTTCCAAGGGGCAAGAAGACACTCGAAAACAAGGGGTAGGGGTAAAAAGAAGATATGGGACTGGGCCTAAGTATCGTGATATATAGGTAGAGTGAGTAGACCACAGATTTGCTTACGGATGAGGTTCTTAGCCTGGACAGCTCTTCTTCTCTCTCCTCGATGCAGCTCTTCAGTTCATCGATCTGCGCAGGACGGAGAGAATTAGCTCGGGTGCTATTTTTAGAGCAGAGAGATGGAACGGGTGGGTGTGAACGTGTAAATGAATGGAAGCAGAGATGAATGTGGATGGATGGATGACAACACTGAGAGGAAGGCTTTGGGGACTGATGGATAAGTGTGTGGAATACCATAATGGAACATATACTGTAAACCAGCAGACAGAGAACAGTGATTAGAGGAGCATGGAAACTGGAGCATGGAGGAGGGAGAGTAGCCTGAAAATAGGATGGAGGAATAGTCAAAATATGGGCGAGCGAGACACACAGAGGGAGAGAGAGATTAAGAGAGCGAGAGAGTCGGGTGGATTGGAGACACAAAGACGCACACACACACACACACACACACACACACACACGCACACACACACACACACGCACACACACGCACACACACACACACACACACATATTCTCTGCATAATTCAGTGTGTGAGATGTAATCAGAGTGATTCAGGGTGGTTTGGTGTGAAATGGTTCAGATGTCTTTACAGTGGTGGTGATAGGAACCAGGGGTCGCCATGACTACAACACAAATATAGACATTTTATTTACTATCCAGAACCACCAGTGAACCTACACGAGTCTTCTGAGTTTATATGGAATGTTGATGATGGAAAATAGTGGAAAATCTGAAATAATAAGTTTTCTTTGGGGACTATTTTGCCTCACAGCACCCTGCATGTATCCCTCCACCATGAATGGAGTTTAAGTTCTCAAAACTATCATAAAACAGTGTCTCAGTCATCAGGCAGTGAATTCATAACCATTTCATGTAGGAACTTTCTGTGAGGGAGCTTTTAGAGGTGGACGTCTGGTTCCTATCACCACCACTGTGAACAGTTCGGGGTCGGTAAGTTTCTCTAGAAACCAAACCGCTCTGAACCACTCATTTTACATCTTAACCATTTAATTATACATTAAATTTTGAAAAAATGGGTGGAGCTCCCCTTTGAGTAGCTAATTTGGAAGCTATCTTACAGTGGAACAAAAAAATCAAATATTTCATGGCAGCAGCTAAAGTATCAGGTGGTGCAGAACCAGGAAAGTAGAACATTTGTGAAGTTAGAGCTGACAGAGTGGATCATCCTCTCACTGAATGATTCATATCTTCTTTCTTCTCTTTCTGCTCCAAAGTTTTAAATATTTCAGAGTAATTTCTTTATTTCTTCATCTTCACTGTAATAGTATTCAGCCAGTAACGATGTTACTACGGCTTAACTGCTGTAACGGGGGCAGGGCAGGGGTCTGCGTGCTATCTTTAGTTACTAAAACACTTAAAAAATACAACTTTAAAGTCAACCTATACACTACCCTTCAGAAGTTTGGGGTCACTTGTCATAATAATAAGTGATATTCAGTAATCACTCGTGCAGTGTAGATTGAAATGCTATAAAATAGACAGCAAAACTTAAGCAAAACTTTAATCACAGTTTACAGTGTTTTGGAAAGTGTTATTAAATAATAAGCTATGATTTTCTGTTGATTGGAAAAACACTGAATATCTGTTTAATTAGTGAGGTTTGGTTATCAGTTTACACATATGAGGCACTGTGAATGCCAGTTTTAAGTTCATTCTCAATTCTGTGCAGATTAAAAGATACAGATCAAAGGTCGTTTTGGTGACTGCTTTGATGTGCCTGGTGAAACTGAGATCTGAGTCCATCAGAACGCCAAGATTTCAGACCTGGTCTTTGGATTTTAGAGCCTGAGAATCGAGGTGTTCGCTAATGCATCACTAATAAATCCCTTTTCTTTGTTGACAAACACACTAAGCTCTGTTTTGTCCGTATTTAACTGAAGTAAATTTGGGCTCATCCAGTTATTTATGTGCTCCAAACACCGTCACAGTGAGTTACTGGGCTGCGGTCGTCTGATGAGAGAGTCAGATAGATCAGATTCTCATTTACAGAACTGTTTTCAGATTTCAGTGTGTGTTTGTGTGTGTGTGTGTGGTGTGTGTGTATGTGTGTGTGTGTGTGTGTGTGTGTGTGTATGTGTGTGTGTGTGTGTGTGTGTGTGTGTATGTGTGTGTGTGTGTGTGTGTGTGTGTTACCTGCTGTTGGAAGGCCTGAACTTTGGAGTGTTTGTCCTGCTCTCTCTGCTCCAGTTGTGAATGCAGTAAACCCAGTTCCACCCTCAGCTGCCGGCGCTCCCCCTGCAGGCCGCACACAGACTGCACCAGCTTATGGAGTCCCTGCTGGAGAACCTGCAGCGCACACACACACACACACACACACACACACACACACACATTCAGATGGGCTCATTAGCATCACATAATCCACAACGCATTTCCAGTATTACTAATAAGAATAATAATAACAATTATTATTATTATACTTTTTATTTTTATAGCACACTTTTTGTGATGACTCAAGGTGCATTAAGCCAATTGCCCATTAGAAAGCAAAACCATTCCCTGCTGAAAAAGGACCATTAGAAACCATTAGGTTTAAAACTCAGTGGTTTTGCTTTCAAATGGGAACTGGCTTAAAGGTTTCCAACAGAGACCCCTAGTTTCCTGGAGAACACATAGAGATCCCATTAGGAAACTATCAAATATATTTAGAATCAGCCACCTGTTTAATTATTAGGACCCTTTACATAGTGATATAAACCAATTAAAAACCAAAACACATCACAAAACCATCAGGAACCAACAGACACACTTAATAGTTTCTATGGGTTTTTCTCAGCTGGGGGTTCCTCTGAGTAAAGATGTCGTGGCCTAAAAGTTCTCGTCCAAACAGTCTCCTGAGCTCAAAGAGTTCAGCCAAAACCCAGCGACGCTCCTGTGTTCCCACTAACGCTTTAATCAGTTTCCTGATGTTAATTATTGATGTGCTGTGTCAGTGTCGTTTTCCTTCCAGCTGTACAGTCATTACTGAGGCAGGCCGTGTCAGGGGGAGTGGGGGGGGATTGGTGGGCAGGGAACCGGAGGGAGGGATGAATGGAGCGTAAAGAAGCAGAAGGAGGAGAAACGGAGGAGGAAAGAGCCGTGCGCTCCTGCTCACGAGCCACTGGCAGAAACGTGACGTGGAATAAACGTGAAGTGGAAACAGCAGCCGGATGAACCCAGTGAACCTCAGCTGCATTTATATTGTATGGTGCCTTCAAGATGAACGTGGCAGATTAAAATTAATAACCATAATTAATCCCCTGATGTCATATCCGGACTCTTCACTTCTCTGCTTGCTTCTTTTGTTTTAGCGCTGGAGCTACGAGGCTAATGTAGCTAAGAAGTAATGGAAGCCCATGCCTCACTAATTAGCATGGTGCTGAATTTTGTCTGTACTTTAGTCCACCTCCTTGTTTCTACACTCACTGTCCACTTTATCAGCTCCACTGACCGTATAGTCTCACTCTGTAGTTCTACAGTTACAGACTGTAGTCCATCTGTTTCTCTGCATACTCTGTTACCCTGTTCTTCAGTGGTCAGGACCCCCATGGACCCTCACAGAGCAGGTACTATTTGGGTGGTGGATCATTCTCAGGACTGCAGTAACACTGACGTGGTGGTGGTGTGTTAGTGTGTGTTGTGCTGGTACGAGTGGATCAGACACAGCAGTGCTGCTGGAGTTTTTAAACACTGTGTCCACTCACTGTCCACTCTGTTAGACACTCCTACCTTGTCAGTCCACCTTGTAGATGTAAAGTCAGAGACGATAGCTCATCTGCTGCTGCTGTGTTGGTCATCCTCTAGTCCTTCATCAGGGGTCACAGGACGCTGCCCACAGGACGCTGTTGGCTGGATGTTTTTGGTTCTCAGTCCAGCAGCGACACTGAGATGTTTAAAAACTCCAGCAGCACTGCTGTGTCTGATCCACTCAGACCAGCACAACACACACTAACACCACCACCACCACGTCAGTGTTACTGCAGTGCTGAGAATGATCCACCACCCAAATAGTACCTGCTCTGTGAGGGTCCATGGGGGTCCTGACCACTGAAGAACAGGGTAACAAAGTATCAGAGAAACAGATGGACTACAGTCTGTAACTGTAGAACTACAGAGAGAAACTGAGATATGGTCAGTGGAGCTGTGAGTGTGGAAGTAGGGTCTGACCGATATATATCAGTTGGATTATAACCCACGGTTTGAGTATTGGTCAAAATGTGGTCGATAATGTGCCGATTACTCTAAAATCAGTGTTGGACACAAAATGTTCATATTGTTTGGGCTCTATTATAAACATCCATTACTGTTCCATTACTCCTCTGCACTTTCAGATCGCATCTAATTAGCATATTCTAATTAGATCTTTGGCGTTTAGTCTACTGCTCTACTGGAAAACCACTTTCGCTCCTTCCCTGATTTAGAAGGGGGTTTCTCCTCTCCTGTGCACGTCTATATATAACATCAACACGAGCGCACGTGAGTCCTCCCATGTGCGGGTGGCTGTAAGTGCACTTTGCTGTGTAAGAGGAGCAGCGCCAGCCATGTTTTATTCAACTCAGCGACCGAGTCAGTGCCGAAACACCCAGACATCGTCCATCTGAGCACGGATTTTCACAGCAGGCCTAATGAGAAACGCTGTCCGCTCGGGGCCGTCCACTCCACGCCCTCAGAGTCGGTGTCGTCTCAGAGGTTTCATTCATCATCTGACACGTTTACTCCAGCAGCGCTGACACGACTTCACTCGCTGCATTTGGTGTTTAATGGGCTGGAAGAGATCTGTGGGAACTGGACGTGTGTACTCAGTGTCGGAGAACACACAGACTCTAGAACAGGGGTGTCAAACTCAACCAATAAAGGGGCCACATTAAAAGATCCCAACAAATCCGTGGCCCAGAGAACACCTATGTTTTTATTTCTGTCTGGTGCGCACCAGATACTATCAGGTGAGCACCACATACTATGTGGCGCACACCAGATACTATCAGATGCAGACTAGATACTACGTGCACCTAATAGTATTGGGTCCTCACCTGAGAGTATTAGGTGCTCACCACATAGGATCTAGTGCGCACCTGATAGCATCTGGTGTGCAACTAACAGTATCGTTAATCAAATTAAGTTTCAGCTTCCATAACATGTTTTTATTTTAAATGTTAACTGAAAATTATGAAGCCTCTAAAGGGCGTGGGGTATTTTTGTAGGTGAAAATCTGGTGTGCAGATCAGATGCAGATTAGACACTAAATGCACTTTATAGTATTGGGTGCTCACCACATAGAATCTAGTGTGCACCTGATAGTAAGCATCAAGCGCACTTCACATAGTATCTCATCCTCACCACATTTTATCTGGTTCCCACCTGATAGCATCTGGAGCGCAAGTAATAGTATCTGGTACTCACCGCATAAAACCTAAAACGAAACTATGTGGTACACACCAGATACTACATGCTCCTTATAGTATTGGGTGCTCACCACATAGAATCTAGTGCACACCTGATAATATCTGGTGTGCACCTAATAGTAAGCATCAGGCGCACATCACACAGTATCTGATGCTCACCACCTCATAGCATCTGGTGTGCAACTAACAGTATCTGGTGCTCACCACATAGCATCTGGTGCGCATCAGATTTTTAAAGTAATAAGTAATAGTATCTGGTACTCACCACATAGAATTTGGTGCGCACCACATACTATCAGGTGAGCACCAGATACTATATGGTGCACACCAGATACTATCAAATAAAGACTAGACACTACATGCAGTTTATGGTATTGGGTGCTCACCACATAGAATCTAGTGCGCACCTGATAATATACTTATATAATATATAATATACTAAGCATCAAGCGCACATGACGTAGTATCTCATGTTCACCACATAGCATCTGGTGCTCACCTGATAGCATCTGGTGCGCATCAGAGTTTTTACGTAAAAAAACAAATACACCACATCCTTTCAGGGGCTCAGTAGAACATTGTTCGTTTCTATGAATATCATTTTCAAAAAATGATGATAAATACTTGCAGCCCAGGGCTGGATTTCCCGCAAGCATCTTAGCACAAAACTGATTTATAAATGGTAGAGCGAGCATTACCCTGAACTCTCTCTCTCTACCAGCTAAGACAGTCTTAAAACTAAGATGCTACCTCGGCCCAGAACGGTAGACCTGTGTAAATGAGCCGCGTCTCACAGTGTACTATTAGTGCTGATACAACATCTGAGGCTGGACAGGCGTCCAGAGTTACAGTTCACAGAGGACCGTCTGGTGTGTGTGATGGAAAACAGACACATACAGAAGCTGGACACAACAGCTTTGAGGTCATGTCCAGCAGCTGGGGCTAAAATTATTCTCTGGTTATCTGGACATCTTTTCTTCCCTCATCCTCGAGAACATGCAGTCAACACTCTGTTCTCTGGACAGTCTGGGTTAAAGGAGAACTCCAGTGTTTCCATCCTGATCTCTGTCTGCTGTATCTGTGGTGTATGGTCAGATCATTTCAACACACTTCCCTGAACTTAGAAAACAACAGACTCTGAACTCACACATAATACACTATATGTACAAAAGTATTGGGACATTATTGAGTTAGTTGTTTCAGTCAAACCCATTGCTGAAATTAAGCACATAGCCTTACAGTCTCCATAGACAAACACTGGCAGTAGAATGTTTAAACATGGCATTGTCATAGGATGCCACCTCTGCCACAAGTCAGTCTGTGAAATCTTTGCCCCGTTAGAGCTGCCCTGGACAACTGTAAGTGCTATTATTGTGAAATGGAAGCGTCTAGGAGCATCAAGAGATCAGCCACGAAGCGTTAGACCACGCAAACTCACAGAGTGGGACCACCAAGTGCTGAAGCGCACAGTGTCTATTCTCTGTTGAATCATCACTAAAGAGTTCCAGATTAACTCTGGAAGCAACATCAGCAGAAGAACTGCTTGTCAGGAGCTTCACCAAATGGGCTTCCATGCCTGAGCAGCTGCACACAAGCCTAAGATCAAAATGCACAAAGCCAAGCGTCGGCTGGAGTGGAGTAAAGCACCGCCACTGGACTCTGGAGCAGAGGAAACGTATTCTGTGGAGTGACTAACCACACTTCTCTATCTGTCAGTCTGATGGACGAGTCTGGGTTTGGCGAATGCCAGGAGAACGTTACCTGCCTGACTGCACTGTGCAGCTGTAGAGTTTGGTGGAGGAGGGATGATGATATGGGGCTGTTTTTCAGGGGTTGGTCTAGAACCCTTAGTTCCAGTGAAGGGAAACCTTAATGCTTCAGCACCAAGACATTCTGGACAATTCTACGCTTCCAACTTTGTGGGAACAGTTTGGGGAAGAACCTTTCCTGTTCCAGCATGACTGAGCCCCAGTGCACAAAGCAGCTCCATAAAGGCCTGACTGGGTCAGTTTGGTGTGGAAGAACTTGACTGACCCTCACAGAGTCCTGACCTCAACCCCATAGAATACTGCACATGCTCTCCACTGTTGTACATGTGTACACTGTATTATGTTTTCTGATGCTGATCTGTACCCCGCAGGCCTGTCTATTTACAACGTCATATTAGTGGATTAGCTCTGGATGTTTCTGTATAAGCAGTCTTGCTTTCCTGGTTAAATACTACTTATTATCAAGTTTCTTAAAAATGGAAAATAAATCAGGTCAGAGGTAAATTTCATATATATATATATATATATATATATATATATATATATATATATATATATATATATATACATACATGTGGAAAATGCAAACGCACTTTTCTTTTACTCAGATTTTATCATATGGTGGTGTTTTTTATACCATGACCGTTTCCCAAAACTAGATTTAAAAAATCTTGCTTACAGTATTACAGTATATTAAATTGTAACCCCTGTATCGCCAGGTTTTTGCCAATGCAGTTCCCTAATAAGAACAGCTTTGGTACAATATTCATCTGAACACCTGCACTGCTGTAGTGGAATGGCTGGAGTTTCACATTCACCCTAATATTCACAGAATTCAGCAACTGTCCGTTGACTTCTGTTATAACTCAGCCCACTGATTTTCTGCTCTTCTCTAAGTTCAGGGAATCGTGTTGAAATGACCGTCCCTGGTAGGCTATAAAAATAAGAGCGTCTCTCTGCTTTTCAGCAAGGACCTCATCCAGAAACTGACTTGGCATTTGGTTCTGCTCCAGCATGCGCCTTAGACGAGCAGCGGAGAGCATCAGCATCAGAGCTGGATTTAATACTCTATCCTCCAGAAGCCTTCATCTGTCCGTCTGACCCCAGCCATGACCCCTTATTTCATCAAAGTCATTAAAAACAGCGGCTCTCAGCGATAACACTCCGCCGCAGAGATATTCACCTCATGCACTCGACAGGACGCGCTCTCTCTGCTCACATGGCTCAGAGAAGAAGAGCCTGACTTCAGGACGTGTCCCCTGAGGGACGGCCTGTTTACTGTAGTTCTTTTTAACTGCTCTCAGTTTCCCACCTCTCAGAAAAGCCGCTCTGCACTCACAACGGCTTTCAAAACTGACTACCAGCTTTTATCAGAAAGCAAAGACTAAATCTGAGCTCCTCCATCACTGTAGCGTTCAGCATTTACCCTGATCTACATATTACACTCATTCACAACCACATGAATACGTCCCATATGGAAAAAAACATACTCCAAATGTATTTAACAAATATATTTTGCAACGTATAAAAATGGACAGAAAATGTATTTGTTAAATATATTTTTAAAACGCATTTATTTATATTTGATTTTTTCGGTTCTATGTACTTTATTAATACCTACAACACTCGCTTCTGTCCTGTTAAAGATCATTTGATCAGATTTAAAATGAAGATACTGGAACACAAATTCATTTCTAAAGGTATCAGACAGTGAAGAGCATCAGACAGGATTTTGATAAACACATTTACATACATTTATTTCTGTATGGGACATTTCTATGTGTAATATTTCCCCATACATTTTAAAATAAATGATTTCAAAAATGTATTTGGTTAAAATGGCAAAATATTCTGAAATACATTTTAGTGTTTGGAATGTGTTTCAGCATCGACTGCAGTGTGTTTGAAATGTATTTAAAATATATAAAAATATATGTCTATATATTGTTTTTTCATATGAGACAACACATTGTTTTACAAGAGTTTTGAGAGGATTTTGGCCAAAAATTATTTAAATTATTTAAATCCATTATTGAAGGACAGCAAAATAGTCCCCAAAGAAAACTTATTATTTCAGGTTTTCCACTATTTTCCATCATCAACATTCCATAACTAGACTGTTCTCTGTGCTGGCACCCAGGTGGTGGAACGAACTCCCACTGGCTGTGCGTACAGCAGAGTCTCTCGCTGTCTTCAAACGCAGACTGAAGACACACCTGTTTATTCAGCACTTAAATGAGCACTAAATTAAGTATTGATTGTAATGTATTGTACAGCACTTATGTATTTTATCGTATTGCACTGTTCTGTGTTTAACTCTGTCCCTTTTTCACTAGGTGTCAATGACCTTCTGATTCTACCAGTATCTGAGCTTAGGACTGACTTTCTCTCTAACCTATCGGTAGCTAGCGAAGATTCTTTCTCTGGATAGACAAAGCACTTTTTGTAAGTCGCTCTGGATAAGAGCGTCTGCTAAATGATGTAAATGTAAATGTAAATATAAACTCAGAAGACTCGTGTAGGTTCACTGGTGGTTCTGGATAGTAAATAAAATGGCTATATTTGTGTTGTAGTCATGGCGACCCCTGGTTCCTATCACCACCACTGTAAAGACATCTGAACCATTTCACACCAAACCACTCTGAATCACTCTGATTACATTTCAACCAACGATTTTGTGTACAGTTACGCTGTAGGGTCTTGTTGTTGTTAGCCATGCAGCCTTTAGCTTGATGATTAGCAAGCTTGCAAAGATGAATCAGCAGTGCAAGCATAACAGATGGAGAAATGTTGGAGGTGGAGTTCCAGATGGAGCAAATCGAATGTTACAGGTTTGAAACATTAAAAGCCCAACCTCAACATCTGATACCAGCTGATACCGTGTGCCATAGGCTGAGTGTAGCTGCTGCACTAATGAACAAACCCAGTGAAGGAGGATCTGCTCACTCAGAGACTGACTCCATCACAGTCGGACACAAAGCTATCGCTCACTTAAACATTACGCCTTGGCAAATTCCCACCAGGATACACTGAGAGATTATAGACTGTTTATAAACACACAATCACAATCACTTCACCAACATGGGTGAAGACATGTAGGCCAACAAAACGGAGGAGAAAAAGTCAACATTTGCTACCAAAGTCTGCGTATGAGACTTTACTCTGTTTGACTGAGTAGAATATCGAGATATAAACATTAATACGGTGATTTTTCTGTAAATCAGGCTGTAGAGAGACCGAACTGTCCTACCGTGAACATCAGCGCCTGCTTTATCTTCAGCGCTCAGTGTTAGCAGCGCTGCTCAGCGTCTCAGTGTGTTTGCTCAGTACTCGGTTATTCTGAGTGAATCAGCTTTATTGATAACGGTCTGTAGACAGAGCGTCTGTAGAGGCTGCGTTTCCCGTAGCAGGTCAGTCAGACGGAGCGTTTCGTACAGTGTGAGTTTATAAATCGTAGCTTTGTCTGAACACGATGGTCTATTAAATGGACAGTGAGAGTCACCAAAGAACAAGGTTCTGTGCTGCTGCTGAAAGAGACAGATGAGGATCAAAACTATGAAAGCTACTTTACTTACAGCTGTACAGAAGAGCTTTTCTGACGGGGAACTAAACCTCCACTGCAGCGCTGCTCGATCAGAGATCACTGATGTAGCATGTAGCAATCTAGCTAATGCACTTCATTAAAATCAGCTAGATTTTAATCATTTAACTGTTGAGGTACATAACTCATTTACACCAACATCTACTTCATTCTAAGTAGGTACTCTGTGGGATCAGACTCGGTATCGGCGTACTAAAAAATATGTACTCATACTCGTGTACGGTCTGAAAAAAAGGTGTTGATGCATCACTAATGTTAAGCATTTTAAAGTATTTCACTTCTATGGCATTTAAACAGGTTTGACTGCGATTCTCTGGTTTGACAAGGAAAATGCAGCAGATTGCAATGATTTCTGAAGCTTTGCTGATGAAGTCGACACTTGAATGTTCACTTGATCTTCACCCCTCTGAGGGCTTGTATAATAAGCTTCACTTAGGCTAATGCAGTAATAGAATGGCCCTTAAAATGGCGTTGGGGAGTACTGAGGATCACGGCCACAGTATGTGTAACAGGAGCTTTCTGAGCATGGCTGGGCGTCCTGATCTGCAGCTGTGTTTGTGTGTGTGTTTCTGATCTTAATCGTAAAGAAATCCTTACTGTCGCTGTCGGGTGAAGGGCTGTTCTGCTGACCGATGGCCTCCTCCAGGCTGCTGATGAGGCTGTTCTTGTCGCGGATCCGCTGGCGGTAGGACGAGCGCAGGGCCTTCATTTTCCGCCGGTGCTGAATGCGGTGCCTGCGCAGCTGCAGACGGTACTGTTCCGCCTGCTGCTGCAGCTGCTGTAGGTGGGAGTACTGCTCCAGGAAGCTCAACAGGTGGGACATCACCGACACCAGCGGAGACTCAGAGGCCTGCGGAGCAAAAACAAACCCAATCACACGAGGACAGTGGTTAACAAAACTGGCCCAGCACATTTCAGTGAGTGCACTTAATGATCTGATCATAATCAGATTCCTGAAGTTAAGTGATTAGTAAGTGGTCGTGTAAACACACACTCTGATTTCTTAGATCAGATTAAGGTCTATAAATCTGATTAAGAAATCCGATAAAGAGGCTGGATTTGAGCTCAGTAATGGGGTTTCTCAGTGTGAACTCTCACTCTGATTTCTTTCATTTCTCTCGGTCTGAGCATGTGTGAAAACAGAGCACCGTCCTGGAAACAGCGAGCAGCGTTTAACGCAGCACCCGCGAGACGAGCACAGCACTTTTGGAGCGACACTGAAACCAAATACACACTCGACCAAATGAAGGGTTTAACTATTCTTCATCTTTTAGACGATGTATGTTCGTATTTTCAGCTAAAGTGACTGGATGTTTAAAAAAGCCACTGATGACGTTTTACGTTACGTTTACATCACGTCTTATTCTGTGTTTATTGGCTGGTTGTAAAGCAGAAATCCGATTACTATCTGACTCATGTAGACCTGGAGTTTCCCCATTGCCTAATTACCCAAGAGCATGTAAACACACTGAACCAGTCACTGACACAATCTGATTTTCTGCAGTTATCAGATTATTAAGTGCAAACACACAACCAGTTACTGACACAATCTGATTTTCTGCAGTTATCAGATTATTAAGTGTAAACACACTGAACCAGTTACTGACACAATCTGATTTTCTGCAGTTATCAGATTATTAAGTGTAAACACACTGAACCAGTTACTGACACAATCTGATTTTCTGCAGTTATCAGATTATTAAGTGTAAACACACTGAACCAGTTACTGACACAATCTGATTTTCTGCAGTTATCTGATTATCAAGTGTAAACACACTGAACCAGCTACTGACACAATCTGATTTTCTGCAGTTATCAGATTATTAAGAGCAAGTAAACACACTCAATGTCTTCCAGAAAGGGAATTCACTCTTAAAAACAATGATGCCTCAAGGGTTCTTTAGTGAAAAAAATGGTTCTACAGAGAACCATGAACACTGAAAGAACCCATAGCATGATTAAAGGGTTCTTTGCATCATAAAAGGGTTCTTTAGATTGATGGAGAATGTGCTGTAGATGGTTCTATACTGTACCTTTTTCAAAAGAGTTCTATGTAGCACGAAAAAGGGTTCTGCAATTGTGACTTTTTGGTGCTATATATCTAAGGAACCATTTCACCATGCAAAGAACCATTTATGTTTAAAGTGGTTCTATACAGAGACCCATTCCTGTACTAAAGAACCCTTGAAGAACCATCCTTAGAGTTTTGCCTTTACGGTTCTTTACCTTGTCCCCCGGCTCTGCGTGCGCACTGGACACTCTCCTCTTTTCCGTCTCCTGTTTGAAGGACAGGAAAGCAGCCAGGGGGGTTTTGGCGGGGGTCGCGTGACCTTCATCAATATCGTCATCTTCATCACTGAGAAGCGACGCATCGCTGTCGCTGCTGCTGCTGCCTGGCGTGTGGAACACAGAGGATCACTGTGTGGCGGCGCTGAAGGTCAGTTAGAACACACATGGCTTTGCCACAAAGTCAGCATCACTGAAAACACTTACTGGAGTCGCTTACTCTGTCACACCCCCTTTTCCCCAACCTGGGGGCGGGGCCGCCTCTCCTCCTGCTCCCTGTTTCCATGGAAACATGGCCAGGCTCCTGGTGGTTACAGTGGGGGTGCATACGTGAGAAGAATGTGATGTAATGACACCAACGCTGGCGTTAACCAAGAGAACCTGTGCTCAGGAAACTACACCTGATTTTACACTAAAGCTTGACACATTACACTGAATCTTCATGAAGAGTCTGGAGGGAGAACTGAGCAGCTGAACTGTATGCAAATGCAAATATGCAAAGTTCAGTCTCAGAAGATATATATTATTATGTAAAATTTGAGCTGTATATCAAATATTTCTGAAATAATATATTATATTATAATAATATATTAATATAAAATAACAAATTATATTTAAAACTATAAAACATATCATATTATAATATTATTAAATATAATAATGTTTGCAATGGAATAAATTAGCTAAAAACATCCTTAAAATATAGAATGCATTTTTATTACATGTAAATATGTTTTTTTTGTTGTTTTTTTTTACAAAATTTATAAATTCCAGCTGTCATTTACATTGTATCAAAATGTCATGACAAATGGGGCCTTGATTAGTTATTTTAGTTATATTATTATTTATTAATTGCTTGATTAAAAATATATTGTTTTAAATTTCCATTCAATATTAGGAACGTTCTTTCCTTCTCCTATAAAGTTACCATTTTGGAGATTATATATATAAAATACATAGGGGCTATATGTAAATAAAACATATACATGCATATATGATCTACATGTAGTACTGTTATTACATATAGATCCTTAAGTATATGGTGCATATTATTCTTAAATATAGTCACTTACACATGCATATACTACTGGACACAGCATTATCAGACATATAATACTAGAGGTGGGCAAAAATAGAACATCGCGATACTTCAATAAATTTTCACGATACACGTCACAATATTTACTTTTTCAGATGTCTGATCAGGAAGAGAGTAAATAGAACCTACATTTTAAAAATACTATCAAAAACATTGTGAACATTGTGATTTTTATTCTAGATTTGTCACGAAATCCAGTTAAACGGGACTAATTTTGGTCTCTTTTTAACGAAACATGCAGCTGGTCAGTGTCCACAATGTCCACATGTTCAGAAAAGCTTATTGTATCATGACAATTTATCATGATGATGATATATACTGACATATCACCCAGCCCTACATAAAACATACAGGACACATGTATGAGCCCCTGTCCTGACATGAAATCAAGTTCCCCGTCCAGACGTACCTCCGGGGACTCTCCGGACGCCCCCTCTAGCGCAGCATCCTCTTCCTTTTTGAAGACGGTGTAGAAGATGTACACCAGCAGGGAGTAGAAGGCGTACATTTCCCCCCGAAGGCGTCGCTTTACTCCGGAAAACGCATCCCCCGCTCTGCACACGCTGCAACACAGACAGACAAGCATGACCAGCATCCAGCGTCTGCTGCAGAACAAAGAGACGACGTCCGTCCCGACTGCTGATAAAGCCAAACATGTCTCAGCTCAGGTCAGGACCTTTTAAAAGGACAGAGAGCCGTCCAGACCCTTAATGAGGAGGAGAATGGCTCTAAAGGGACAGAACCACTGAGAGGAACCAATGAAGAAGCTCTTTAAAGCTCATTCATTGCTCCTGACATCACAAACCTCCAATCTCCAGCTGTTCTGGGCTGTGATGTCTTACCCACAGTTCTCCTGTCCGGCTCTTCAGCTCTGCATGGTGTCCATCACTCTCCCGATGCTCCACCACCGGCAGCTACAGCTGAGCTCCACACACTGCTGATCTTCTCTCCCTCTCTCTCCCTCTCCTCTTCTCCAGCACTGACCCTGTCTTCCTCTCTCGCCCCCCCTCCCTCACTCGCTCTCAGCATCTGCAGTGAGCATGCTCAGTGAGCTCTGCAGTGGGGCTGACAGAGATTGATTAGAGAGAGAAACAGAAGGTTCAATACAGAGACACAGGAGGGACGGACGATATCAGCCGTTTACTTTATGATCCGATACTGGGCGTTATCAAGGCCAGCAGCTGAACCGATACGATACTACACACATAAAGGGGCAAACTTTACAATGAAAATGAGTAAACTTTGTTATTATCACCTGTTTCATGACGTTTGTTGTCTTTTATTGTCTTTTATTGTCTTTGGCATCACACATCATTTATTCATTTTATCTTGGGGTGGGCGATATGGCAAAAATGTCATATCACAATACTTTCACAGTACGCTGTAAGGCACAATATTAATATATATGAATAATAATTATATATAATACCATATAATAATATTAAGACTTTTAGGTTTTTAGGTTATATTAACTTAGCCATTACATGAAAAAAACAAAAAAAACAAATGTAAAACAAAAAACAAAACAAAAAACAAAAAAAAACACTCTTCGCTTCACCAACAAGACACGTCTGAGTCACACTGAGTGTAAACTAGCAAGCTGTGCCTCTTTTGCTGGTGCAAAATTGCCGTTACGGAACAAAATAAAGCTTCTTCATGGTGACTGGCTTAAAGGGGAATCCCACCAATTTTTCCAAATTTCTGCATAATTTGGTCTCAATCAATGAGATGTAAACAGAGATTTTCCTGCATCCACTGAAGTTATAAGGAGTGTTTCAGCCCAGACTGTTTTTTGAATGAGGCACAGCCAATTAGAACAGAGCTCATTTACATGTATCAGTCTTAAAGGCACAGTGTTTAATTGTTCACAGACAAAGAGAGGCTGGAAAAACAAATAAAACGCTGACTGGATGACATACAGTCTCAACACAAACAACAATAAAAATACAAGCCATTACATTGTGTAAAGTAACATAAACGATACAATGGATAAGTAGATATATACAGTATGTGGAGCTAAAGCTGTGACCAAAGGCAATATGTACACTGAAACGTGTTAAAGTGCGTATTATATGCAATAATACTACTATTTATGATAAAACAAAACTAAAAACTGAATTAATTCTTTAGAAATAACTTTCCATTTTTGCTACAAATTCTCAAAGTGCTTATACGCAACTGATTACTGGATTGTAAGGATGATCAAAGGGGAATTCCACCAATTTTCCAAAATTTCTGCATATTCAGAGTGGTCTGGTGTGAAATGGTTCAGATGTCTTTACAGTGGTGGTGATAGGAACCAGGGGTCGCCATGACTACAACACAAATATAGACATTTTATTTACTATCCAGAACCACCAGTGAACCTACACGAGTCTCTGAGTGTTTATAGAGCGACTGGATCTGGAACAGTGATGTTCTTTATGTCCAGACGTGACTCGTGTCACGCTCCGTGCGGTGACATAATCCAGTCCCTCATCACGCGCCCTCTTCTCTCTGATGTTTTCTTTTTAATCTCTTGCTAAAACCTGACGGAGAGCAGAGAATTCAGCCAAGAGCTTCTGCTCTCGGACTCGGAGGAGCTGAAGATGTTTTTAATAAACTGATTGAATTCTGAGGCAGAGAATCAGGTTAGTGATTTACGGCGTCTTATAGATCCACACTGCAACAAACCTTTCTGAAGGCAGGCCTGTGTAATCAATCATGTCACTCCTCCTGCAAGAGTAACAGTGTTGACCCCCATATGGAAAAATAATACATGGACATGTATTTTTACATATTTGAAATACATTCCAAACACTAAAATGTATTTCAGAATATATTACCATATTAACCAAATAGATTTTAATTGCATTTATTTTTAAATGTATGGGGAAATATTACTCATAGACAAAATAACTGTGTGTAAATGTGTTTATCAAATCCATCTGAAAATGTATGAAAATATCCAGAATCCTGTCTGATGCTCTTCACTGTCTGATACCTTTAGAAATGAATTTGTGTTCCAGTATCTTCATTTTAAATCTGATCTAATGATCCTTTAACAGGACAGAAGCGAGTGTTGTGGGTATTGATACTCTGTGAAAATGCAGTTATGATCTGATATCTTGTTTATGTGAAATACATTGTGTGTGAGAGTCTGACTGCAGACGTACATGGTTAATGTAAAGTACAGTGCAGATCACAGAAGTCAGTACGTTTAGTTACATCTGGAACCTTCATTAAAACGTCTTTCTGTGATCATCTTTAAAGCTGAAAGTCACAGTGAAGCTGGTGTTGGATCAGGAATCTGCATCGTGAAACTGACTGTGAGACAGGCTAACATACAGCTCTAGCATTAGCTCATCTACTGATTTACCCCACAGTTAAAGGCTAAAATATTTACCCTGGATTTTGAATGATCAAGGAACCAGGGGTCGCCATGACTACAACACAAATATAGACATTTTATTTACTATCCAGAACCACCAGTGAACCTACACGAGTCTTCTGAGTTTATATGGAATGTTGATGATGGAAAATAGTGGAAAATCTGAAATAATAAGTTTTCTTTGGGGACTATTTTGCCTCACAGCGCCCTGCATGTATCCCTCCACCATGAATGGAGTTTAAGTTCTCTAAACTACCATAAAACAGTGTCTCAGTCATCAGGCAGTGAATTCATAACCATTTCATGTAGGAACTTTCTGTGAGGGAGCTTTTAGAGGTGGACGTCTGGTTCCTATCACCACCACTGTGAACAATTCTGACTCGGTGAGTTTATCTACACACTTAAAAAAGATGGTTCTTCAGGGGTTCTATAGTAAAGAAAATTGTTCTATACAGAACCATGAACACTCAAAGAACTCTTTGCATGATTGCCTCGTGAAAAGGTTCTTCAGACTGATGGAGAATGTGCTGTAGATGGTTATATATAGAACCTTTTTGAAAAGGGTTCTTCTAATGTAACAAGCCTGACATTGTGACAACAGAAGAACCCTTTTTGGTGCTTCATAGAACCCTTTTCAAAAAGGTTCTGTATAGAACCATCTACAGCACATTCTCCATTAATCTGAAGAAACTTTTACAATGCAAAGAACTCTTAAATCATGTGTTCATGGTTCTAAATAGAACCATTTTCTTTCCTAGAGAACGGCTGAAGAACCATCTTTTTTAAGTGTGTAAAACAGAGCATTTCACACCAAACCACTCTGAATGGCTCTGTTTACATCTCAACCATGTATTTATGCAGGAAATTTGAAAAATAGGTGGAATTCCCCTTCAGGGCTGCTGGTGTTTAGGTGGTGGACTGTATAAAGGCCTGAGTGAGGGAACTGAGCGCTCAGGCAGGGCGGAGCTGTACGGGGCTGTTTATAGTGATGAGGCAGCAGAACAGAGAGAGCCGTAAAGCTCCTGAGGACTGCCGGCTGTTCCTGAGCTGGAACTCTATCGGTGCTCGGACGTGCCTGCTGTGTGAATGAGGAAGGAGTGATCCAGGAAACAGAACGAGTGCAGTAAATCAGCGCTGAGGCTGCAGCTCCATTTCTCATTCACAGCCTGGGTTCAAAGGAGAACTCCAGAGTTCTTCATCCTGATCTCTGTCTGCTGTACCTGTAGCGCACAATCGATTATCACAGACTAGAACCTCAACACGTTTCCCTGAACTTAGAACACAACAGAACACACAATGACTCTGAACTCACTTATAACAGAAGTCAATGGGCAGCTGCTGAACATAAACACTGTTTCTGTACACGCTTAGAAAAGATGGTTCTTCAAGTGTTCATCAGTAAAGAAAATGGCTCTATATAGAACCATGAGCACCTTGCATGCTTAAATCGTTCTTTGCATGGTGAAATGGTTTTTTATGTGGTTCTACATAGCACCAAAAGGGGTTCTTCTATTGTTATAAACTTGACATTGTAACGATACCCTCTTAAAAAGATGGTTCTTCAAGGGTTCTTTAGTACAGAAAATGGTTTTGTAAAGAACCCTTTGCATGATTAAAGTGTTGTAGATGGTTCTATGTAGAATCTTTTTAAAAAGGGTTCTATAGAGCACCCAAAAGTGTTCTCCTATTGTTAGGATGTCAAGCTTGTAATAATAGAACTTTTTTGGGTGCTTTATAGAACCATCTACAGCACATTCTACATCAATATGAAGAACTCTTTCACAGTGCAAAGAACCCTTTAATTATGCAAAGGGTTCTTTGAGTGTTCATGGTTCTTCATAAAGCTGTATGAACAAGAGTGAGAACGAAGAAGCTGAACCACTGACTGTATATATGATATATATGTATGATATATACACTCACATATGATATATATATATATATATATATATATATATATATATATATATATACACTGTACTATATACACTCACTGACTGTATATATGATACATATGATATATACACTTATTGGCTGTATATATGATATATATAATATAGACACTCACTAGTTGGAACATGCAGACACTGTTGCTCTCATTGGACGTCAGTGACAAAAATTGGAAATCATGCGTTTTTCATGTTCTGCAATCAAAATAAAGTTACTAAATTATTGAAAATAATAATTAATCCAGTCTGCTGAAGCTTTTTGCCCACTGATACAGCTATAACACAGTGCACTGCTTTATAAATGGAAAAAAAACGCACAGAACCGCAGCACTGCCCCCGACGCTGATACCAGCAGAGCAGTGAAACAGTTCCAGTGCAGCTATAACATCAGATTTCACCAGAGGACTGAAGTAACAGTCTAACTGCTGGAGAATAATGCGCCACTGCATTAGGAGTATATTCAAGTTTCTTAAAGCAACATCTCATACTGTGCCCTGTGGAAGCTCCGGGAAAGTCATCTCTGTACCATGTTTTACTGTAGAAGTACACAAATGAACAAACAACATGACTAAAACCTGAAATCAGAAATGAGTGCTTATCATGACAACTTTTTACCTTTTAAAGCTGAATTCCACTGACTTTTCAAAATTTCTGCATATCTCCGGAGATATATATCTATTTTGGCTCATTACGTGCTCCACGTACCCCTCCACCATGAGATATACATGTATTTGGCCATAATATTCTCAAAACTATCATAAAACAATGTCTGAGACAACATTCACACACATCAGCATATTCATAATTTCATGTGAGCTTTTAGAGGTGGACGTCTGGTTCCTACCACCAGCACTGTGAACAGTTCTGACTTTCAAACATGGCATTTCACACCAAACCACTCTGAACGACTTTAATCTTGAGCATTTATTAAGAAGTTTTGAAAATAGTTTCAATATTTAAATTGAAATTAATGTAACGATGAAATGGACACGGACACCGCTTTGTTTTCAGAAATCCGGCGTCTGAAGATGAGACCCAACAGTCTGAGACACTGTAATAACAGCAGTGCTGATATGAATGCTGTACTGTCAATTCAGCTGGGTCCAAATTCAGGTGTCATCTGTACCTGTGAGTCTCTGAGAATCCAAGTGGCTGTTATTATAAGTATTATTGTTATTTATATCATTAAAAATAAAGGTCAGCAGGGTCTCTCCACCCACATTGATAACTGATGGAATCCACCGGCCAGTGAGGTGCAAAAGGAGGGTGTTCTCCTTTAAATTCTTTCGGACGTTTGAAAAGGCGCAGTAGTTGGCATCGTATGTTCTGGGGCCGGATTCACGAAAGCTTTCTTAAAATTAAGTGACCCTTATTAGTCCCACAGTGGCGAAATATCGCCTCCGTATTTAACCCGTCCGTGTAGTGAAACACCACATACACACTAGTGAACACACACACTAGGGGGCAGTGAGCAGCCCTATCCACGGCGCCCAGGGAGCAGTTGGGGGTTGGGTGTCTTGATCAGGGGCACTTCAGTCACGTACTGTCGACTCTGGGGATCAAACAGGCGACCTTCTGGACACAAGGCTGGCTCCCTAACCTCCAGCCCACGACTGCCCCCACAAGAAAGTTTTTTAAAAGTTTTTAAAAGTTTTTAAGAAAAAACTTGTGAAGGTTTTTAAGCCAAACACTAAGAAGTTCTTAAGAATGTTCTTAAATGCAATTCTTGAAAATAGTTCTCACATATTCTCTTAAGATAATCTTAATTATATGAAAATCTTCATTGTTTTCTTTTGTCGGCTATGTTGCATTTTACCATAAATGACACAAGATATATTTTAAATTTGTATTAACTCTTATTTCCGTTATTTAGTTTAATCACTCAGAGGAGCGAAATGGAGGAAAGTAACAAACAAGAATCAGAGGTGATGGAGAAGAAACAGCCAACAGGAAAAATCCTCTTTAGAAAATATGATCATTTTGGAGGGACAGACGAGGATGAGGAGCAGCAGAGGCAGCGTCCCTGATAAATTTAGACGCTCACCTCGTCAACTCTAACAGCTTGAGATGAGTCTATCACAAGGTCAAGAACACATTTATAATATTTTCAAGAATAACACGTTATTAGAATTATTCTTACGTAAATGGTTAAGAGAAGATAATTCTTAAGACGTTTTTTGAAGAATAACAAATTCTCATTTGTTTTTTCTTAATAATGAAGCTAAGAAAAACATACATTTAAGAAGATTTTCTTTCTTTTGTGAACCCGGCCCCTGGAGTAGCCAGAAAAAAGGCTGAATATAAAAAAAGAAACATGCACTCGATATCACGTCTCTCATGCTCGTGCACAGGCACTGACTCTTAAGTAACACTGGGAATGTTTCTCAGTGTTTTTCGTCCCGTCTATGTTAGTAAACACATCACATCCCGTAGAAAAGGGGTTTGTAGGCACTCGAAAGAAGCACTCAGTCAATACTGTACACCTCTGAACATTAAAGGGCCCATATCCTGCATATTTTGCCCCTGACGTCCACTTATAATATTTATACAGACAGTTTATGTTCCCAAAACAGCCATAATTCATTTCTACATGGTCATTTTTCCAACCGTATCCCTTAAATTTAAACAGGCTGTTATTGTTACTGCCCCTTTAAGACAGATGTATGTAAATGAGCTCTATTCTGATTTGCTGCCCTCAGCACTCCTTATAACACTCCTTATAATTTCAGCTTGAATGGGCGGGGCTGCACTGCTGTAGGCTGGCTAGGGGGGTGTGAATGTGCTGGTTTTATGACATCACAAAAGTGATGACGTCAAAGCAGGCTGTTACCTCACACTCTTTAAAAACGAACGTCAAGGGTTCTTTAGTAAACAAATTGGTTCTATATAAAACCATGAACACTCGAAGAACCCTATGTATGATCAAAGGGGTTCTTTGCATCCTGAAAGGGTACTTCAGATTGATGAGAATATGTTGTCTATGGTTCTATATGGATCCTTTTTGAAAAGGATTCTGTATAGCACCAAAAAGGGTTCTGCTATTGTTACCCGCTTGACATTGTAATAACAGAAGAACTCTTTTTGGTTCTTTATAGAACCATCTAAACCACATACTCCAGTCTGAAGCACCCTTTCCCGATGCAAAGAACTCTTCGATCATGCAAAGGGTTCTTTGAGTGTGGATGGTTCTAAATAGGACCATTTTCTTTACTAAAGAACCCTCCAAGAACCATCGTTTTTAAGAGTGCAGCTTAGTTTCCACGTAGGGACTATATGTACTGCACGCTTTAAAAAGTTGCTTCTTCAAGGGTTCTTTAGTCAAGAAAATGGTTCTATATAGAACCATGAACACTCAAAGAACCCTTTACATGAATTAAGGGTTCTCTGCATCATGAAAGCGTTCTTCAGATTGATGGAGAAAGTGACGTGGATGGTTCTATATTTTTGCAAAGGGTTCTATACAGCACCAAAAAGGGGTTCCACTTTTGTTACAAGCCAAAGAACCCTTTTTTGATACTACATAGAACCCTTTTTGCTAACTCTTATTTGGTATTATGTAGAACCCTTTGTGTTAAGAGTGTGGGGAGCGAAACTTCAGCAATGTTTATAAACTACTAAACAGTTTTATTTTAAAAAAAGTGAGAAATTGGTGTGATTTGCATGATATGGGCCCTTTAATCTTGGAACCCTTGTTCTGAGTCTGGCTCTAGAACACTAGAAAAACTCCACACATGGTACCGTTGCAGATAGAGTGAGGATCCTGTGTGAAAACCCCTCCACGACATCAAAAAAGCTGCACATTTCTGAAGAACCACCAGTTCTTTAAACATTTCAGGTGGGCTGAGTTCACCTGTTAGAGGTAGGTCATACAGTGTAAAGGTGAAGATTAGTGAAAAATCCAATTCACACAGTTTCTCCAAATGTACACACTTAAAATGGATGGTCCTTCAAGGGTTCTTTAGCAAAGAAAATGGTTCTATAGAGAACCATGAACACCCAGAGAACCATTTGGATGATTAAAGGGTTCTTTGAATCACAAAAGGGTTCTTCAGACTGATGGAGAATGTGCTGTGGTTGTTCTTTTTGACGGGTTCTTTTACTGTAACAAGCTTGACATTGTAACAACAGAACCCTTTTTGGTGCTATATAAACCCCTTTTTCAAAAATGTTCTATATACTATCATTTACAATCTGAAGAACCCTTTCAAGATGCAACGAATACATAGAGCTCTATATAGAACCATTTCCTTTACTAAAGAGCCGTTGAAGAACCATCAATTTTAAATGTGTAGTCAATCAGTCAAGACGCTGGAGCTACGAGGCTAATATAGCTTATGTACAAAAATTAGCATTGAGCTAACTGTATGACTAATTCATCATACACTCACTTCAAACTGTGCTGAGCTGTAAAAGGGGAACTCCACCTATTTCTAAAAATTCCTGCATAATGAACTGTTTTAGATATAAACAGAGTCGTTCAGAGCGGTTTGGTTTCTAGAGAAACTTACTGAGTCAGAACTGTTCACAGTGGTGGTGATAGGAACCAGACGTCCACCTCTAAAAGCTCCCTCACAGAAAGTTCCTACATGAAATGGTTATGAATTCACTGCCTGATGACTGAGACACTGTTTTATGATAGTTTTGAGAACTTAAACTCCATTCATGGTGGAGGGATACATGCAGGGCGCTGTGAGGCCAAAAAGTCCCCAAAGAAAACTTATTATTTCAGATTTTCCACTATTTTCCATCATCAACATTCCATATAAACTCAGAAGACTCGTGTAGGTTCACTGGTGGTTCTGGATAGTAAATAAAATGTCTATATTAGTGTTGTAGTCATGGCGACCCCTGGTTCCTATCACCACCACTGTAAAGACATCTGAACCATTTCACACCAAACCACTCTGAATCACTCTGATTACACCTCACACACTGAATTATGCAGAAAATCGAAACAGTCTGTGATGATTTTAGGCACGCAGTTAGCACCATGCTAACTGGTGGGCATTAGATACATTAATAGTGCTAAAGAAGCCGATCGACTACATCCTGAGTAAAAGGGAAAACTGTGTAAATTAGATTTTTCTGAACTGTCGCTTTAATCCCAGCCTTTCAGATCCTGGAGGAATTTATTCAGAGCCATCTTTGTTGTCCAGCAGCCAACAGCCATGACGGCTTTCAGGATCCACCGCAGTAGCCCCACTGCAGCCTGTGGAGATGTGACAGAGCCCATGGCGGCCCCTCTGACCCTGGGGGCCACTAGAATGGGCAGGCTGAGGGCCACGCTTCCCAACACTCCGGCTGCGTTTCCGGCAAACAGGCACACCGTCAGCGAACAGGACAGCGCCGATAAGCCTACGCAGCGAGACATGACCACCAACCCGTCCGCCGACAGCCAATCAGCAAGCAGAGGGAGGAGGGTGGAGCCAATGAGAAGCACGTGGGCGGTGGAGTGGTCTTCACTGAGCCACAGGAAGCCGAAACGCAGACAGAACCGGCCCGAGAGACTCTGCGACCCATTCTAGATCCTTCTGGGCTGCATCAAGAGACAGGCTGGAAAGAGGGAGAACCGCCAGAGCAGAGGAACACGCAACGAGGAAGAACCCCACCGACGGAGCCCTGTGGTCCTAGAGAGAGAGAGAGAGGAGAGAGAGAGAGAGAGAGAGAGAGAGAGAGAGAGAGAATAAAGGCATCAGAACTGCTGCTCCATTTAAGGTGGAACAGGAAAATTCAAACAATAATCTGATGAATATCTGACTTCAGCTTCATATCACTGAAGAATTAGGGGTGGGTGATAATAAATAATTGCCCCCCTCTTTGAAGATCATATGATCCCTAAATGTAACTAAAGCCCAGCAGTGAGGAGCTGAACTTTACCCTCCTCTGCTGTCACTGCAGACTGGCAGGGTCTCCTACAGAGCAGCGCTGGTAGCTGTTAATGAAGTGATGCTCTTTTTATCTGAGGGTCCCATTTCAGAGGAAGATTTCAACCACTACCCTGTAACTCAGTTCTAAGGGGCAACACTCGAAAACAAGGGGTAGGGGTAAAAGTAAGAAATGGGACTGGGCCTTACACTCGCTGTTCAACTTGTTTAGGTCTACCTAGCTTGTATCTACACTCATAGTCCATTATATCAGCTCCATCTGTTTCTTTGTGTTGTGTTAGCCTCTCTGAACAGGTACGAAGCTGTTTAAATTAGATTTCTGGCTGAACTATCACTTTAAACGTTTTTGTTACTGAATTGTATTAAACTGATTAACGGAACTGGGAATGTTTGTCGTACCTTGAAGAGGTGAACTGAGGCGTGCAGCGCTGAGAGTGACAGAATTATCTCCACAAACACGGTGATCAATTCCTGCACAACGTCCATCAGAGCCCTGAGAAGAGGAATAAAAGATTCACTGCTGAAAAAAGAAAAATCTCACATTTGCGCCATCTAAAGACAGGCTGTAGAACTGATCTCATAGTCCAACTTAAAGGGAAATTCCACAATTATTTTAATAATCTTCTGCATAATTAAACCATTAAGATGCAAATAAAGTGTTTTTGGAACATTGAAGCATGTAAATCTATTCTAGACCTCAGAAAATAAAATTGCGAACACTGAAAACTAGCACAATAGGTCCCCTTAAATAAAGCTAGGGAACACACGAGTCTTCTGAGTTTATATGGAATGTTGATGGTAAAATAGTGGAAAATCTGAAATAATAAGGGACTATAGGGACTACTTTGCCTCACAACACCCTGCATATTGTCCTCAAAACTATCATAAAACAGTGTCTCAGTCATCAGGCAGTGAATTCATAACCATTTCATGTAGGAACTTTCTGTGAGGGAGCTTTTAGAGGTGGACGTCTGGTTCCTATCACCACCACTGTGAACAGTTCTGACTGTAAGTTTCTCGAAAACGGAGTTCAACCAAAATTTGGTGGAACTCCTCTTTAAAAACTATACTAAAACTAAATAATTCACTATTTAGGCAACTGGCCTGTGAACAAAAAGTGACTTCATAGCTACCTGGCATAGTGGTCCTACACAAAAACTGACCAAAATGGGTCAAATTATGATAAATCAGCCTGGCAGAATTTGCCAGTGGAATACAAACTCATTTCTAAAAGGTACCCAAACAGTAAAGTGCATTAGACAGGCTTTTGGCTACTTTAATATATTTTCAAATGTGTTTGTTTGATACATTTACATACATTTATTTTTGTCTGTGTGTAACATTTTCCCATACATGTTAAAGTAAATGTATTTTAAATATATTTGGTTAATATGGCAACATATTCTGTAATTCATTATAGTGTTTGAAATGTATTTCAAATACATAAAATATATGTCCATATACACCGGTCAGGCATAACATTCTGACCACCTCCTTGTTTCTACGCTCATTGTCCATTTTATCAGCTCCACTTACTATATAGGTGCACTTTGTAGTTCTACAGTTACAGACTGTAGTCCATCTGTTTCTCTGATACTTTGTTAGCCCCCTTTTACCCTGTTCTTCAGTGGTCAGGACCCCCACTGATGAGAGGACTAGAGGATGACCAACACAAACTGTGGACCCTCACAGAGCAGGTACTATTTGGGTGGTGGATCATTCTCAGCACTGCAGTAACACTGACGTGGTGGTGGTGTGTTAGTGTGTGTTGTGCTGGTGCGAGTGGATCAGACACAGCAGTGCTGCTGGAGTTTTTAAACACTGTGTCCACTCACTGTCCACTCTATTAGACACTCCTACCTTGTCAGTCCACCTCGTAGATGTAAAGTCAGAGACGATAGCTCATCTGCTGCTGCACAGTTTGTGTTGGTCATCCTCTAGTCCTTCATCAGTGGTCACAGGACGCTGCCCACAGGACGCTGTTGGCTGGATATTTTTGGTTGGTGGACTATTCTCAGTCCAGCAGTGACACTGAGGTGTTTAAAAACTCCAGCAGCACTGCTGTGTCTGATCCACTCAGACCAGCACAACACACACTAACACACCACCACCACGTCAGTGTTACTGCAGTGCTGACAATGACCCACCACCCAAATAGTACCTGCTCTGTGAGGGTCCATGGGGGTCCTGACCACTGAAGAACAGGGTAACAGGGGGTAACAAAGTATCAGAGAAACAGATGGACTACAGTCTGTAACTGTAGAACTACAAAGTGCACCTATATAGTAAGTGGAGCTGATAAAATGGACAACAAGGAGGTGGTCAGAATGTTATGCCGCTGCACCATTTAAGGTGGAACGGAAAGTTCGAAAATCAAGAAGCTGGATAAGCGGGCGAGCGGGAAGGTAACTTAAGCCTAGTTAGCTAACCTACTTATTTTAATAATATTTAACTACTAAAAGCTCAGATTTTTCAAATGTTTGATCAAAACTGTGAAAAATAGTCTGAAATCTTCACCGTAGCGCTAAACTGCAGCCTCAGGCTGTCAAACGACACGAACTCCGGCTGGGTAGTTCAGTTAGACGAACAAGACGTTCTGCCTCTAAAAGGTGGATTTAAACGGAGCGTTTAACACTGAAAATACGAAGTGAGAAGCAGAGAAATGTGTGTGAGTTATTATTATTTATCTTACCCTCAGTGCCTCAGCGGCTCGAGTCCGCACAGAAAACACTGTTTACATTCAGCTCGCCTGCAGAAACTGAGGCTGGCAGAATGGCGTAGTGCACACTGCCCCTAGCGGCTGGGAGCGGCATCACACGGACACTGTGTACAAAAGTATCCGGACAGCTCTTCTGCTGAACCCTACGGAGCCCTGATGATGACATACTGTATAAATAAAAATAACGCGTGGCCAGGCCTTATTAACACGTGGGAACGAGATCCTAATGCGTGGCCACGACTTAGTAAGGCATGGGAATGAGATGATTAAGTCGTGGCCATGACTTAGTAAGGCGTGGGAACGAGATCATGGCTTACTAAGTCGTGGCGACGCATTAGGATCTCATTCCCACGCTTTACTAAGTCGTAGCCACAATTTAATCATCTCATTCCCACGCCTTACTAAGTCATGGCCACGCATTATTTTTATTTATACAGGATGTCACCAGCGGGGCTCCGTAGAAATCCGTAGAGTCCCTTCTGGTACTGTCCATGCTCTAGACAGAAGACTGTGGCGTCCACTTGGAATTATAAGGTTCTGTCTGACATACTTGTCAAAACTGAGTTATACAGTATATATATATATATATATATATATATATATATATATATATATATATATATATATGCACATGTTATTAATCTGTAACAACTTCTTTACATTTTTGGACTCTTTACCTAGAAAACTAAAAGGCTCTATCTCCAAAATCTAACCCTTTCTATATGTCATATGAGATTCTGTTTGCGAGCCAATCGGCACTTTGAATACACACAAGAGGACCAATCAGGTTCTCCTTCTTTGTCACGTCACCGCTCTGCTCAGTGACTCCGGGAAAAAGTTTCTAAAACTTTCTGAAACATGAAAACATATTGCTGAAACATCCGCCTGTCATTTTATCATCTTAAGTTTTCTAAATGCTAAGCCTTAAAGGTAGTTTAGCAGTGAACATTTGAACTGATACAACATAAACATTCATTAAACATTCATCCATCTATCCTTTTTTTCTTTCTCCCAAAATACGACATGTTTGGCTCATCAGAGTCACATTTCTGGTATAAAACAAAACCTCACGCTAACCTCAGATCTAAGATATAAGACTTAACAATTTCCTGTAATACTGGCTCTGGTTCCTATCAGCACCACTGTGAACGGTTCTGACTCGGTATGTTTCTGTAGAACAGAGCGTTTCACACCAAACCACTCTGAACCACTCTGTTTACATCATCACCACTAAGTTATGTAGAAATTTCGAAAAGTGGATGGAATTCCCCTTTAAAACTCATTACACTCCTATGCCATCGTGTAACATGACATATTTAATTAGATGCAGCAGTCTTGTCTACATCATGTTGGATGTGGCTTGTAAAACAAAATAATAAAAAAAATAATAATTATATCTACACACCTAAAAAAGGTTCTCCAAGGGTTCTTCAGTTAGGACAGTGGTTCTATATAGAGCCATGAACACTCAAAGAACCATTTGATTAACGGAGAATGTGTTGTATACGGCTCTACACACTCTTAGTTTTGATCATGCAAAGGGTTCTTTCAGTGTTCATGGTTCTACTTAGAACCATTTTCTTTACTAAAGAACCATTGAAGAACCATCTTTTTAAGTGTGTAGAATGTTTTTGAAAAGGTTTCTATGTAGCACCACATTTCATAACATTCTAGTCTTAAATTGCTACCGTCTTAACTGTTTAGGAACACAGGCTTCAGTTTCAGAATGAGTGTGTATTCATAAAAATAACAAAGTAAAACCGAAGAGTAAAACATTAAATCAGTTTTTATTTAAATACAGCATCAAAGTGAATTTATAAATCACTGCTTTCTGCTTTTATTCGTATTTTGCTTACTGTCCCAACTTTTTTGGAATTAGGTTTGTACTTTATCCTTACAAATACACACCGGTCAGGCATAACATTCTGACCACCTCCTTGTTTCTACACTCATTGTCCACTTTATCAGCTCCACTGACCATATAGTTTCTCTCTGTAGTTCTACAGTTACAGACTGTAGTCCATCTGTTTCTCTGATACTTTGTTAGCCCCCTTTTACCCTGTTCTTCAGTGGTCAGGACCCCCATGGACCCCCACAGAGCAGGTACTATTTGGGTGGTGGATCATTCTCAGCACTGCAGTAACACTGACGTGGTGGTGGTGTGTTAGTGTGTGTTGTGCTGGTACAAGTGGATCAGACACAGCAGTGCTGCTGGAGTTTTTAAACACTGTGTCCACTCACTGTCCACTCTATTAGACACTCCTACCTTGTCAGTCCACCTTGTAGATGTAAAGTCAGAGACGATAGCTCATCTGCTGCTGCACAGTTTGTGTTGGTCATCCTCTAGTCCTTCATCAGTGGGGGTCCTGACCACTGAAGAACAGGGTAAAAGGGGGCTAACAAAGTATCAGAGAAACAGATGGACTACAGTCTGTAACTGTAGAACTACAGAGAGAAACTATATGGTCAGTGGAGCTGATAAAGTGGACAATGAGTGTAGAAACAAGGAGGTGGTCAGAATGTTATGCCTGATCGGTGTAGTTTGTTACGGATAGAGGTGGGCAATATGACGATATTTTACCATTATCGTGATAAACGATGTCACAATATCGTCACTGTTCAAGAACACTAAACAACTGCATGATTCATTATAAAGAGGGCATAAACAGTCCTTTATACCTTACTGTATCAGTGTCTAATACATTGAAGAAAAATCATTGTTCTCTGAGTTTTTGATAGTATTTAAAATAAAAATTAAAAAAATTGCGATACGTATCGTGTGTCATGAAAATGTTTGCAAGTATCGTGATGTTATCATTTGTGCCATGTCGGCCACCCCTTGTTCTGGTGCAGTGTGTCTATGACATGTTTATGCTGTATTTGCTCCATTTAAATTGCTGTAAAACGTAAATACATTCTGTGGACAAAAGATAAAAAGGAGCTCTTTATTCAAGCTTACATTACAGTAAATGCTTTTAAATGATAAAAAATGCCATTAATAATTACTTATTTGTGCGTAAATACACCAGATGGTTTTTAAAGGGTTCTTTAGTAAAGAAAATGGTCCTATATAAAACCATGAACACACAAAGAACCATTTGCATGCTTAGAGGGTTCTTTGCATGGTGAAAGGGTTCTGTGATGTTTTACACAGAACCTATATAGAACCTTTTTGAAAATGGTTCTATGTAGCACCAAAAAGGGTTCTTTTATTGTCACAAGTCTGACATCCTAATAATAGCAGAACCCTTTTTGGTGCCATATAGAACCATATACAACACATTCTTCATCAATCTGAAGAACCATTTCACCATGCAAAGAGCCACTTCTTCGAGTGTTCATGGTTCTATATAGAACCGTTGTCTTTACCCAAGATCCCTTGAAGAATCATCTTTTGTAAGAGTGTAGGTTAATAGTTGCTGTTTATTGTGCTCTGGGCCGGACGATGACTCTGTATGGTCTGGCCTTCAGGACCACCGTGGCCACACCCCTCAGGTCAGGAAGCTCCTCTGGGCTTTCAGGGAGGAAACTGGAAGGCTTGCAGCAGGTACGCCGTGAACAGGAACAGCTCCATTTTGGCTATGGATTCTCCGAGGCACAGCCGAGCGCCCCCTCCGAACGGCATCAGCGCCCGCAGGGAACCCCCACCCCCCTCCAAAAAGCGCTCTGAAATACAGAATGCGCTCCATCATCATTACTCAGCACCACAGCGGCTTCTACTCTGCGTCTTGAGGTATTTTTACTGGAATCTAATTAACGATTATGTGGTTTTTACCGGGTCTGAAGCTGTACGGGTCAGTCCACACCTCCGGGTCGTGATGGGCCCCGAATAAATTTGGGATGATGACTGTGTTCTTGGGGATGAAATATCCTGCAATGCTAAAAAGACAATGACCTTGTATATAATTCCCATTTACCATAAGCTTTAACAGAGGGCCACATTAAAATCATTTTATATGTCTGTTCCAAACAAATGAGTTTAATTTGGTAGTTTTTTGGTAACTTTTTATTTTGTAACGTATTACATAATTACAGTAATATATTACAAAAGCTTGAACAGAGATTAGTCACTTATGGATGGTGATTCATAACTTTTGAACAGTGATTCGTAACTTTTGAACAGCGATCAGAACTTTTGAACAGTGATTCATAACTTTTGAACAGTGATTCATAACATTTGAATAGTGATCATAACTTTTGAACAGTGATTCATAACTTTTGAACAGTGATTCGTAACTTTTGAACAGTGATCATAACTTTTGAATAGTGATCATAACTTCTCAACAGTGATTCATAACTTTTGAACTGTGATTCTAAACTTTGGAACAGTGATTTTTAACTTTTGAACAATGATTCATATGTTTTGAACAGTGATTTTGAACATTTATTTATAACTTTTGAACAGTGAATTAAAGCTTTTGAGTAGTAATTTGTAACTTTGGAACGATGATTCATACGTTTTGTAGATTCTAAACTTTTGAACAGTGATTTGTAACTTTTGAACATGTGATTCATATGTTTTGAACTGTGATTTTACATTTTAAAAAGTTATTTGTAACTCTGTAACTGTGATACATAATGATAAACAGTGAATCTACTGTTTGAACAGTGTTTGGAAGCGGTGAACAGTAGTGTACCTGCTGTCTTGTTTGGCTTTGTGTGGGACGGCGAGTGGAGCGACGGGCCTCAGTCTCAGCATCTCATTAATCAGGGCACACAGATACGGCAGCCTGTGTCTGTCACTGTACTGAGGATACTGTCCCTTTAACACACTGCACAGCTCCTCATAGACCGCAGTCTGAACCTACAGAGCAAGAGAGGAGGACAGCAGAGAGAGAAACAGAGGGAATCAGTAGAAACAAAAAGAAACGGAAGGCAGGAGAAATGTTTTATTCATTACAGTAATAAGGAGAGTTTCAGCCTGGACAGCTTTTTGAATGAGGCACAATACAGAACTGAAACACAACAGCAACCACCTAGCAACATCATAGCAACGACCTGCAACAATCTATCAATAACCTAGCAACCACATACCACAGCAAAAACCTAGCAACCACAGAAATAATCTGGAACACCATCACCGCCACCTAGCAACAGCCTAGTAGCCACCTGACATACCATAGCAACCATCTAGCAACCAGCAGAGATGCCATAACAACCCCCCAAAACACCATAGAAACCACCTGGAACACAATCACAGCCACCAAGCAACAGCCTAGCTCACCCTAACAACCAGGTAAAAAAATGTAGCAATCATCTAGAGACACCTAGCAACCACCTGAAATACCATAGTAACCATCCAGAAATCACTAGAGATATCATACCAGCCACCTAGCAACCCACAGAAACCAGCTGGAACGCTATCACAGTGACCTAGCAACACCCTAGAAGCCACCTGGGATACCTTAGCAACCACTTATTAACACCCTACCAACCACCTGAAACAATATACCAATAGCCAAGCAATACCACAGAAACCACCTGGAATACCATAGCAACCACCTAGCAACACCCTACCAACCACCTGAAACAATATAGCAATAGCCTAGCAATACCTAGTAACCACTTGGAATACCATAGCAACCACCAAGATACCATAGCAACCACCTAGCAACACCACAGAAACCACCTAGAACACCATCACAGCTACCTAACAACAGCATAGCCACCTGGGATACTATAGCAACCACCTAGCAACACCACAGAAACCACCTGAAACACCATCACAGTGATGTTGCAACAGCCTAGTAGATACCTGGAATAACATAGCAACCCCCTGGCAACACCACAGAAAACACTAGAACACAGCTACCTAGCAACAGTAGCCACCTGGGACACTGTAGCAACCGCCTAGCAACTCCCTACCAACCACATGAAACAACATAGCAATAATTTCACGACACCTAGCAACCACCTGGAATACCATAACAACCACATAGCAACCACTAGAGATACCATAACAACCACCTAGCAACTCCACAGAAACCACCTGGAACACCAACACAGCTACCTAGCAACCTAGTAGCCACCTGGGATACCATAGCAACCACCTAACTACACCCTACCAACCACATAGCAATAGCCCCCCCCGTCTATCCACATCTTCCCCCGTTAATGCAGCGCTGCACGTTCTCCGAACCTCTGGTCTGTGTAAGAGGAAGGCCACGGTCCAGCTGAGCCAGGCTGCGGTGGTCTCTGTTCCTCCTATCAGCAGGTCCACTGTGGTCATGTGCATCTGAGTGTCCGTCAGAGTCTGTGGGAGGAACAGCACAGATACGGCTAATTTAGAACTGAAATAAAGAGTAAAAAGTAAAAACAATGGTTCTATATAGAACCATGAACACTCAAAGAACCATTTGCATGCTTAAATATTTCTTTGCATGCTTAAACGGTTCTTTGCACGGTGAAATTGTTCTTCTGATTGATAGAGAACGTGTTCTATATGGTTCTATATAGTACCTAAAACGGTTACGATGTCAGGTTTGTAACAGTAGAAGAACCGTATGCAACACGTTCTCCATCAATCTGAAGAACGATTTCATCATGCAAAGAAACTTTTAAGCATGCGAATGGTTCTTTGAATGTTCACGGCTCTATACAGAACCATTGTCTTTACTAAGGAACCCTTGCCAAACAATCTTTTTTAAGAGTTAATGCAAAAATTTGGGCACAAGAGTTTGTTTGTTTTTTTAAAGGAGAAGAAGGTAACAGGACCTCCTCCGCAAACAAGAACAAAAAGACTCCCAGTCGGCTACAAAAACATTTACAAGCTGTGATATCAGTCCAAACATTTCTACATGCATTACTATTTATTTATTTATAAGTTAAAGAAATACAAACTAACTGTGAATTAATGTTTGTGGAAAAAAAACTTTTATAACTTTAAAAATCAACAAGGTACATAATTTGGACAGGGGTGCTCAGACATGTGAGACTAACCTGACTGACCATCAGATTTGCTTGAATTTTTTAGTAAATGTCATAAATAATAGCAAAAAGTTTATGCTCATATCCTCATTTGTGTCTGAGATATAGAGGCTTTAAAAAGTGGGTGTGGCCTTAATTTTTAGCCTTAAAATTGAAATAGATGCTACATTTGATGTCACAACCTCTCAATTATTATGTTAGATGTGCAATTTTTTATATGTGCTCCTTTCATTGGAATAGTGGAAAGTCAATAAATGACTTTGTTGTCAGACACAGGCATAATTTTATTTTATAGATTTTTAGATTTTCAATGGATCATAAATCAGAAACCTTTATGACTATAAGACACATATTTACTTGCAAAAATGTGCTGTAATAGGACTAAAACATAGCAAAATTGGAAAGATTTAATGTGTTCTGGTGTGGAGATATAGAACGCACACAAAAAATATATATATATATTTCAGATATTCAGTAAGGCAGAAAATGGTAAACATGCATCTCTGTATGTGATGTTTTCAGTATTTAAACACACTTAAATCAAAGATTAATCTTTGAAAATTTCATGCATGTAGCCTCAAAAATGTAAAAGTTATGACTTGTGAAAGATTTTTTGTAGCACAAAAATGAGGACCACACCCACTTTTTAAAGCCTCTATATCTCTGAGACTAATGAAGATACAAGCCTAGAATTTTGCACACAGTCTATTAGACACAGAAACCTGATTTCCTAAAAATATGAAGCAAATCAGAGGAACTTTTCTCTGGAATCAGGTCAATAAAATAACATAGTTTACTGTTTTGCATTTAGTAATTAATACACTTCATTGAGTGCAATACAGTGACATCCTCTAGACATCATCTATCACAGCAGAGTAATGTAATACTTTAATAGCTCAGTGATCTGGCTGTTTAATCTCTCCTAATTAATAAATGTGGCTATAGTTTATTTACTATCTTCTGTGCTGTTTCCTCCGCTGTGTCGAGGTGCTGTAGAAGCGAGGCTGTGAGGGTCCCGCCTTCTTTACCGCCACCTTTCTGCTAAAAACACATGAACAGGATGTGGAGAGTTATTTCACAGATTGAGGCCCAGTCCTGCCTGCTTTCCTCCTGAATACAGTAACAATACTGTTTTATTAGCCTCAGAAAACAACTTTAAATTTGGTACATTTATCAGCTGAAACATGTTCTTTTTTAGTCTTTAGAGTTATTTGTATTTTTTTTTGTACCTTAAACTCATCCAGATGGCCTCTAATTAGCTCGTCCCGTCTAGCTACCTCTTTCATAAGACGGGAAAAAGGAAGATTTGGCAACCTCTGTAAGGAGAATAGATAGAAGCAAAGTAAACTTAAGGTCCAGAATGAAGTTGTAGTACAAATTCATTTTCAGAATTTCATTGGTAAAAATGACTTACTTGTCAGAAATGTAGGCATAACGTGATTTTTCAAATATTATTTTCATTTTAATGGCTCACAAATCTGGAACCTTTATCACTATAAGACACACACTTATTTGTAAAAAATGTGCTATAATAAGAGTAATAAATGGCAAAGTTTGAAAGATCTGATATATTCTGGTGTGGAGATACAGAAGGCCAAATCAAATTAATGAAATTAATTAATTAATGAAAATAAAATTATATCCAAAATAAAGTTCTGACAAAATTAATTTCCAGAAGGAATCTATTATAAAACTAATGTGCAAAATTTATCAATTACTAAATTGATATACAGAATGTGTCATATTTCAAAGGTATTTATTAAATATTGAGGCAGAAATCCTGAGAAAATTGTTTTGCAAAATACCGTATTACAAGATATCAATATATTATTTATCATTTTGTCACTATCTTAGTAAAAACCTTGTAATCTTTTAATTTGTTTTTTTTTCACAGTTTTAAAATTCCAGTCCTTTAACAATGTGCAAAAAATGTGACACTTAAAATATTAAATAAAATGTCAAAATACCTGTCATTTTTTTATTTATAGCATTTTTCTAATATTATATACTGCATTATATTAAATTAATAATTATTCTATATATTATTTTATGTATAATATTGTTTGGACGTTAGTTGTCGTTACTCTGAGCAGAGGGAAGGAGTCCAGCGCTGAGATCCATGGAGAACCCCACAGAGAAACGATTTCATTCAGACAGCCGTGCAGGTTCTGCAGCTCTGCAGAACTTTTCTCATACTAGCAAAGGGAAAAATGGGAAAAATGGGAAAATGGGAAAATGGGATTTTTACACAGATTAGAAAAACTTCGTTTATAAAAAGTAAACACTAACGATGCACCAATGCATCGATCTGAAGGTGGTGGTGTGGCTGCATCAATTTTAGAATCTTACAATCAATTATAATTAATTACATTGATTTTCAATCAAGCTTGTGCTAACTTTTAGCCCAAACTTGGTTATTTGTTTTATAATGTTTTTACACTGCAAAACATGATCTCTTTCAAAGTGGAATGATCTTTGCTGTAGTACATATCTTAGTAGGACTATTATTAGATTATTTAGCTTATTTATAGACTTTCTTACTTGGTTTAAGTGATTTTAGGTAATCAAATCTCACTGTAATAGCAGATAATGTGACTGATTTCAAGCATATTTTTGCAATAATCAAAATTACTCTGCCAATATTGTGAGATAATCTTACTACTGGAAATCACTTGGAACAAGTAAAAACATCTGGAAAAAAGCTAAATAATCTTATAATAAGTGTACAGCAATATCAATATGAGACCTATTAGATATACCAACAAGAGATTTCACTTTGAAAGAGGCTGTTTTTTGTATTGTACATTATATATTCCTCCACTAGATCAACATTCAGTGGACATATTTCCAAATCTTATCAAAATAATCCAGTTAAATCATGATTGAATCAGATTTCATGAGGCTCTGAATTGTTTCCTAATGATTTAAATACTCCCCTGTAGCGTAGACTGTACGTTATATTGCACATTACTAACTGATTTTCCGAATGCTAGAGTAGTGATGATGTTACTGGCTGCTACAGTAAAGTCTTCAGACAGATCCACAGGCTTCTCCCTGTAGTCCAGCAGCACCTGGTCCAGAAACAAACAACAGAACAGTAACAGGCTCTGTTTAGAAAGGAGGACGTTCATATGATCCACACAGTCACTCTGACAGACTGTAATACACTACAGGAAGTGTAGGGGGCGATACGGCTTCTACTGTTTCATTTAAAATGTCTCTATAATGTTCATATGATCCACACAGTCATTCTGACAGACTGTAATACACTACAGGAAGCGTAGGGGGCGAAATGGCTTCTGCGGATTCATTTAAAAAGGCTCTATAATGTTCATATGATCCACACAGTCACTCTGACAGACTGTAATACACTACAGGAAGTGTAGGGGGCGATATGGCTTCTGCGGATTCATTTAAAAAGCCTCTATAATGTTCATATGATCCACACAGTCACTCTGACAGACTGTAATACACTACAGGAAGTGTAGGGGGCGATATGGCTTCTGCGGATTCATTTAAAAAGCCTCTATAATGTTCATATGATCCACACAGTCACTCTGACAGACTGTAATACACTACAGGAAGTGTAGGGGGCGATACGGCTTCTACTGTTTCATTTAAAAAGCTCTATAATGTTCATATGATCCACACAGTCACTCTGACAGACTGTAATACACTACAGGAAGTGTAGGGGGCGATACGGCTTCTACTGTTTCATTTAAAAAGTGCTGGCTGTCTGTACCTGTTTGAGGTGCAGCGCTTGCTTTTCTATAACAGAATGCAGGGACTCAGCAATGCAGCGCTGCAAAGCACTATGGGCAATCCGCCGATGGGCCTTCCATCCTTCACTGTAATCACCCAGAGAGATGCTCCACCCACCACCTGTGACCTTATCACCTGAGAGATACAGGTGAGGAAGGAGGAGGAGGAGATTACAGTGCTGCGTTTTAGTGACAGAAAGTAAAAAGGGAAAAAGCAGAATTGAATGAATGCTAAACGAATTTAGCAGAATGGTGATGGTGAATACTAGCAGGGTGGTGGGAGTAACAGTACCCGTGTATGAAGGTGGTCTTCCTGCAAAGTCTGACCACTTTTTGACCAGGGCCTCACGAATGACCTCACTGCTGTTTAGGATCACCATGGCTGCATGAAAGATAAACTATTGAAGTAAAAAGCTGTATTTTAATTTTTTTTGTGATACTGAGTCATATATCGAGATTCTTTATACTTATACACCGATCAGGCATAACATTCTGACCACCTCCTTGTTTCTACGCTCATTGTCCATTTTATCAGCTCCACTTACTATATAGGTGCACTTTGTAGTTCTACAGTTACAGACTGTAGTCCATCTGTTTCTCTGATACTTTGTTAGCCCCCTTTTACCCTGTTCTTCAGTGGTCAGGACCCTGCTCTGTGAGGGTCCATGGGGGTCCATATATATAAAACAACAAGAAAGCTTTCTTAAAAAATGAGAATGTTTCTCAAAATAATGTATTATTTCAAAATAATAAGATAATGTTTTGGGAAACTTGGCATCTCAAAAATAATGACTTATTGTCTCAAAATACTTAGAAAAGATCTCAAGATAATAACTTGGCCTCTTAAAATAATAACTTGCCATCTCAAAATAATATAATATCTCAAAATAATAACTTTCTGTCTCAAAATAATGAGATAATATCTCAGAATGACAATGTGGAATCTCAAAATCATGAGCTATCTCAAAATAATGAGATAAGATCTCAAATGACTAATCATCACAAAGTAGTCGTGTATCAATTACTTAATAATAAAAAATAATAATTAGCTGCTGTATTTTTTAATGAATTGGTGTGAATGGACGTCCATATGTTTCAGCTGTTAAAGCTTAAAACAGTGTAAACAGATAAAAAGGTTCTCATTAACTAGTGCTGCCGCAGTGGAGGCGGTAGACGTTTCCATAGCGACGGGCCAGTGTGGTGAGGTGTATGGGCAGGTGGTCTCGGGTCAAGTCCAGCATGTTTCCCAGCAGGGGGAGAGCGGGGGGTCCGGGGAGACAGGGAGAGAGAGAGCGAGGGAGCAGACCAGAGAGGGAGTGGGGAGGTTTTGGCACAGTCGCTGGACAAATAAGAGAAAAATATATATTTACTGCATTTTGTGCACATTTGAAAAGGAATTCTTCAGATCTTAGACATTTACAGTGATTCTGTTCTGACCCATTTAAACCCAAAGCATTAATAGAGACGGTAATAAGCTAAATATATATAACATCATCATTCATAGGGCTCTTTCTGTTGGGAGGAGTCTGTCTCTGTCTCAGTGTCTAAATTCACAGTTATGAAAATAATACTTACATTTTGCTTTACTTCAGTGTTTTTTAAAGGATCATATTGATGTATTTTAAAGTGAAGTTAAAAGGTTTTGATTTATAATGAGTTCAATTTTAAAATAAAAAATCCTGTCCCACGTTTTCATGTCACTACCAAAACACAGAGTTTTAGTCTGTAGGCGGGGCCTTATTTTAGCCACGCCCCTGCATTTTAGAGCAGGAAGTGGGGCTGCATCCCTGTCCCTCATGGCCACATGGTGAGCAGTTAGATCTGTTTTGAAGTAAATGTGTCCCAAAGTCTGAAAATCAGTGTGGAACATTAAGAATTGTCACTACCGAAACACAGATTTTCATCTGTTTTAATCAAAAATATTATGAATTTCTGTGTGAACATCTGTTCAAAGCTGTGTTTGCTGGTCATGAACTCCTGAGTTTCTGAGCTCAAAATGAGCTAAAACTGTCACTGAAACAGTCACTACTGAAACAGACACTACTGAAACAGACACTACTGAAACAGTCACTACTGAAACAGTCACTACTGAAACAGACACTACTGAAACAGTCACTACCGAAACAGTCACTACCGAAACAGACACTACCGAAACAGACACTACCGAAACAGTCACTACCGAAACAGTCACTACCGAAACAGACACTACCGAAACAGACACTATTGAAACAGTCACTACCGAAACAGTCACTACCGAAACAGACACTACCGAAACAGTCACTACCGAAACAGACGCTACCGAAACAGACGCTACCGAAACAGTCGCTACCGAAACAGTCGCTACCGAAACAGACACTACCGAAACAGACACTACCGAAACAGTCACTACCGAAACAGACACTACCGAAACAGACACTACCGAAACAGACACTACCGAGACAGACACTACTGAAACAGTCACTACTGAAACAGTCACTACTGAACACAGACACTACTGAAACACTTGGTACAGTTTGGCAGAGTTATGATTACTTTGGGATGTTCAGTCAGTAATTTTAATAAAACATAATTAAAGTTTAGAGTCACTAAGGATTTTAGTCTAAAGTCTAAGACCAGTTAAAATCTAAAATGTGTTTCAGCTCTGACTTTGAAACAATTTGGGACACTCTTAAAAAGATAGTTCTTCAAGGGTTCTTTAGTAAAGAGAATGGTTCTGTATAGAACCATGAACACTCAAAGAACCCTTGGGATGATTAAAAGGTTCTTTGCATCAAGAAAGAGTTCTTTGATGGAAAATATGCATGAATATACTTTAAGCTTGACACTGTAACAATAGTAGAACCTTTTTTTAAAATGGTTCTATATAGCACCCAAAAAGGTTCTACTATTGTTACGATGTCAAGCTTATAACATATCTAAAGCACATTCTCCATCAATCTGAAGAACCCATTCATGATGCAAAGAACCCTTTAATCATGCACATAGTTCATTGAGTGTTCATGGTTCTATATAGAACCATTCTCTTTACTAAAGAACCCTTGAAGAACTGTCATTTTTGAGAGTGTAGAATGATGCTTGTGTATGATAATCCGCTGTATCTGTACTGTACACACTTAAAAAAGATGGTTCTTCAGAGGTTCTTTAGGAAAGAAAGTTGAACATTCAAAGAACACTTTGCATGATTAAATGGTTCTTTGCATGGTGAAATTGTTTTTCAGATTGATGGAGAACGTACTGTAGATGGTTCTACATATATACTTTTTGAAAAAGCTTCTATATAGCACCAAAAAGGGTTCCTTTATTGTTAAAAGCTTGACATCGTCACAACAGCAGAACCCCTTGTGGTTCTAACCTTTATTCACATTTCTTTCTCTTTAAGCAGAAAACGTATCTACATACAAGTTAATGCCTTTGGGAAAGTGTCTAGTGCCCTTTGAGCCCTTTGGGCAGCGTTTTGTTTTGTTTGTTTTTATTTTTTATTAAAATACTCACCATGTTTGATCTGCTGTGCATAAATAAAACTGAAATTCAATGAGAACTAAATGAGGAGGAAATGTGGAGAAAGTGTTCGTGTTCTCACCTTTAGACTGACCTCCATCTGGGCGTATTTGTCTGTGACGCTGTGCTGAAAGATGGACAATTAGCTTCCACACAATGAAGAGCAGAGCGGCCGCTCCCGTGGTCAGCACCGACACAAACATGCTCAGACACTCCTCTATACTGTGCCCGCAGCCTAAACCCACCTCGTCCTTTTATCACCTCCCCCCTCGTCTGTCCCAGCCCTCTGTGTTTTTGTACACCTCCTCTATCAGATCAGGGAGAGGTCAGTGTTGTTGTGGCCTTCAGGCCAATGTCGCACAGAGCAAGAGCAACAGAGAGCTCACGGTGTGAGTCTTATTCATGACGTTACAGTAAACAATAGCTGATAGATTACACCATTCAGGCCTTGAATCCAGATTCCGGTCCTGGATTTCATATTTGCTGGTAGATGTAATGCAGAGTGACCAAACAGTTACATCAAATTCATTCAATTAACCAGCAGTGATTACAAAACACAGGGGCTCTTATTCATCACACATCTTGACAAGTGAAATTATCTTAAATCTACTTGATATTTCTAATATTTCTCATGTTGAGATTATTGTAAGTTTCTTATAGGTTATTAAACATATTTCTAGACATTATTTACTTAAGTGAAATGATCTATATCTTATTATATCTCACTAAAAATCTCCCTTATATTATTGTATCTCACTATGTTGGCAGATAATTTTGCTTCTTTTCGGAAATATGCTCAATTAAATGACTTAAAACAAGTAAAAATGTCTAAAATAAGTTAAATACTCTTGTAACGTTGTTAAACCAATATCAACAGTAGATACATTGACGAGATATCAGATGATTTCTCTTGCAAAGGTGCCATTTTTCCTGTGTAGTGAATTAAAAGCTGTTCGCTATCATTGTGAAATCACCTCTTATGGAAATAAAGAACGCTACCCAGTTAACTTAACACTGGATATGTATGGTCAGGACCAGCACTGGCCTTTCGGGGGCCCTAAGCAGGAATGGTTTGGGGGACTCCTCTGCTTCAGAGTATGTAAACCTTTGGCCTCCAAAAGTGATTGGCATTGGGTGGAAGTGGCCGCTGTTGCTTCTGTCACCTTTACGCAACGTGCTGTAGGGAGTTCCGGCATGCGCAGGAGGGGCTGCGGCGGCAAGGATGCAGCCCTGGATGAGGACTAGGTGAGGACTCCTCAGCACTGAGCTGGGATTGAATGCACACAAGGGACTTGGCTTGGGCCAGTAGGCTGCCTGGAATTTGAAGGGAGGGCTATGTAGTGTCATGATACTGGCCCTGCTGCCTCCTAGAAGCTCAAGAGGCATGGCCATGCGATGGGCCATGCGATGGGCCATGCTGGGAGGCTCATGGTAGGTGCACACTCTCTGGAAAGGTGCTTCTTGCTGTTGTTTATGTGGATGTATGTTGGTTAAAAGATCTGTTATGTGTGTTATTTGTGTTATTTTGTGTCTTGGGTGTATGTTGTTTGTGTGTCTATGGGTGTGTGGGCAGGGGCGGTGGCACTGTGGGGTGGAAGCCTATAGCTACAGGTGACCTCCTCCGCTCTTTGGTTGTGGGGGATGTGCTTTCCTGCCCTGGTGTTTAATAAAGAGCACTTCTTGTGGTGGAAATCATGGCCTCCCCCGTGTCTAACTCTGCACCAACACCACAGTATATCGCACTACAGTGGGCTGAAATGGGGGCCTATTAAGGAGTATTGTAAGGTACAGAGGATGAATACAGTCATTAAGGAGGCTGTACACTGAGCTTCTGTGTGGTTTATTGTATGACTTTAATAGCTGAACTTCATCCTGACTTATTACTCCAAGACTTGGCCTAAAAAGAAGCCATTCACTGGGAATAAAGTGGTGATTCAGCATGTATCATGGATGTAGTTGTAAAGCTGGACAGCCAATCAAAGAGCCTCAGTGTAAATGTCAGTGGAATCCTATTCACAGCCAAACCAAAATCAATCCTTAAACCGCGGTCCAGAGACGGATCCACTGTTAAAACAGCGCTCCTGTGAGCATTTCACTCCCACTGCTGGTCATTCCCAAACACAGGCCTTAATATTTCAGTAACTTATATGAAGCCATTGGTTTGTGGCTTATACAGTTGTGTTGGTGTAGAATATCCCACCCAGACAAAAGCAAGTTGAAAAGAAGAGACTGTGAACAAACTCTAAGGTGGCAGGTTGGTAATGCTGGAGGAGCTGAACAATGTTTATTTTAACTTTAAGACCCAAGGTTACACTCCCTCATCACTCCAGAGCCACAACATCCTCGCCCCACTGAGAACGGCCTGATGCAGCTGCGCTTATCGGATGAGAGCCACGATGATTTTGGAGACACCAAAACCACACAAGCAATCCACACCATCCTCCATCTCCACCACCTCCTCACCCCATCTGAACCTCCCACCAATTCTGGAAAAGCTGGTTTCAGCTGGGACGAGGCTGTCGCTCTCTCTGTCAGTCAGCCCTCAGGTTCAATGAAGACGTTTCTCCTCCACCCTCAACTACTGCCTCAGGGACCCAACAACATGCTGCCATGCTGAACCTCAGCCCTTCTCTGCTGAAAGGGAAGAGGTCACACCATTTTCAAGTAATCTGGAAAACTGATGTGGAGCTGTGTTCCAAAGTCTAGGCTGCACTCCTCGGCCGCTACGTCATAGCAGGCCATTCCAAAGTGAAGGACCCTTCGTACACAGCCTAGAAATGCAGCCTATGTTCTGACTGATTTCAGGGACGTAGCAGATGTTTCCTTCCAGGCCTTTGGTTACCCACAGTTCTCTGCGAACAAGCGCTGAGAAGGAAACAAAAAACAGTACCACGAAAATGGTGGAAAACGAAGCTGTTGGAGCAGAACTTTAAAATGTAAGATGTTCACATCCTTGAATTCGTCTTCGTTACCTTATAAAGTGTAAAACGACTGATTAAAGTATCCGTCCATATCTCGTATTCTATTTAGAAGTATTTGTATGTATGTAGTTTATCGTACTACATAAGATCATCTCCTCCATTTCTGAGAAGAAAGCAACAAACAAAACGCAACAGGCTCCATTTTCTCTCACAACAGGCTCCAGGTTCTCTCACCAGTTCTCTCACCAGTTCCCTCACCAGTTTGGTGCCACTCTGGTGTCGTCACCATGCAGCCTCATTAAGACAGCTCCATTTGTGCGACCGATAGGCTACTAAGGACAGTCTTTATAGGACAGTCCTGCCGAGGACCCACACTTCCTCGGCTGCAGCCTCGGATTTGGAACGCAGCTACAGTGATGATGTCAGCAGTGCATGCTTTCAAAACAAGCTCAGACCCTGATTTCCAGAAATCTCTCCAGGAACAGGGAGTGCAGGGAGTTCATGTCAGGTAATCTGATTATCTCCATCTTATCTGCAGTATGTCAAATATGAGTCACAGCTTTTGGAACAAAGTGCATAGTTAGCTAAGTTTACTCTTCACAAGATTAGATATCTCACAAAGTCCATCTGATTACAGCCCCTGGGCTTCAATTTAGACATTTGGGAATAGCAAAGAGAGGAACAGATCAGCTGCCTGTCTGCATTCGAGAGCCCTAAAATCTAAAGCACTAGTACGTAACCATAATAATAATAATAATAATAATAATAAATTCAACTTATATAGTGCCTTTCACAAACCCAAGGATGCTTTTTTGTAGTGTAAAAAAAATGAAATCTAGAAGACTAAAGAGAAGAAATAAAGGAAGGTTTTTAGCAGAGATTTGAAGGAAGACAAAGAAGAGCAACTACGAAGAGTGGGAGGTAGAGAATTCCAGAGTTTGGGGGCAGCAGCACTGAAAGATCTGCCACCCATAGTAGAAAGCCTAGTTGAGGGAACTGTGAGTCCAGCATTAGAGGATCGGAGAGCACGAGAGGGACAATATAATGAAAGGAGATCAGAAAGGAATGTCAGAGCCAGAACATGTAGAGCCTTGAAGGTAAGAAGAAGGAATTCGTAGCTAATCCTATAACTAATAGGAAGCCAATTCATCTGTCAAAGAACAGGAGTAATATGAGCTGAGCGCTTGGTGGAGGTGAGAACCCTGACTGCTGAGTTTTGGATGTACTGAAGACGATTGATTAGTTTAGCTGGAAGGCCATAGAAAAGTGAGTTACAGTAATCAATGTGAGAGAAGATGAAAGCATTACTCAACATTTTAGCGTCAATATCACTCAGCATAGGGCGTAAGTGTGCAATGTTATGCAAATGATTATGAAAAAACGCAGTTTTGATGACGAGCTTAATGTGAGACTCAGAAGTAAGAGATGAATCAAGAAGACAGCTCTTAACAAATTGGGCTGGCTTAATATCGACACCATCAATGTTGACTGAAAAGTTCAGTACCTGGGAAAGTGAGGTTTTAGCTCCAACTAACAGAACCTCGGTTTTATCAGCGTTTAGTTGGTGTAGGTATGGACTCTGATCTGTTTTAGCAGTCAAAGCAGTTACTAAATCAGCTTTAGAACATCATCAAGATCAGAGATGTTCTGACACGCAGACCTGGAGAACCTCATCCACGCCTTCCTTTCTAGCAGGATTGATCACTGTAATGGTCTCCTAACTGGACTCCAGAAAAAGACCATTAAACAGCTTCGGCTGGTTCAGCATGCAGCTGCCAGAGTCTCACTAGGAGTAAAAGAAGGAACACCCCCCCCACCATTTTTAAATCCCTTACACTGGTTACCAGTCTGTTCCAGAGTAGACTTTAAGGAGCTGTTACTGCTCTATAATGTCTTAATGGTCAGGAGCGTATTTATCTGACCCGCTGCAGCGATATGAGCCGAGCAGAACTCTCAGATCATTAGGAACTGGTCAGTCAGTCCTGCCGAAGGTGAAGACTAAACATGGAGAAGCAGCGTTTAGATACTGGGCTGCTCTTAAATGGACCCAGTGGACAGAGAGCATTAGAAGAGCCGACACTGGACACTTTAAACCAGCCTGAAAACGTTCCTGTTAGAGTTTTCAGTATTTAAACACTGTTAGCTCTGCTGCACTTCTCTCCTCTAACACCGCTCTATTATCATCATTTCAGCTTTAATTTGATTTTTCATTATCCAAGTTATTTTTTAATTTGAATTTTAATGTAATGATTGCTTTCTATTAAAATCTATCATTTTATGTTTTTAATTTCTGTTCTCCTTCACTTTGTTTTTGAATGACTTCATATTTTCTCATTCATAAAGCACTTTTAATAACAGCA